TGCAGAAATGTGGCTTCAAGCCAAAGCTTACCGAAGACGTGATACGAAACATACTACCTACTATTCACTGTAAAGCACTTCTAGTAAGGAGATATCACCATTCGCCAAGTCAGTGCAGAAGACATCATTGCAAATATGTATCATATTTTTGATCGTGAAACAGACTATATTAAATCATAAAGATTGCTTTATCTACTATCCTACCTAAAATAATTAATGTATATTTTAATGAAATTATATAGTTCTATTTCTGTTTATAATACTGTTATTGTTTTAGTAAAACGATAACAATAGATACAATTTCAGAATATCAAATTTCGAATTCAACTTTCTACGCAGATAATAATTCTGTGGTGCGACGATCATATAATATATGGGCTGGCCTCACATTGCATATGCCTTTGTTAATTTTTATTTTAAAGACAGATCACCGTTCTGTGTCCATGTCATTCACAGACTCATAAAGTATACAATTTCAAAATCATTCAATTGTACCAAAGCACCAAGTGCCAAATTGACCCCGGTGAGTAACAAGGCCACGAATTATCTTGTTAGGTCCCATCCGGTGCACCGAGTGTGCCTGCACCTCACCTCAGATGATTGTTATGAGTTATTGTGTTATCGTACTATTATGATGCGATTCACGAATATAGAGTTATACAACTCTATGACTGGTATTGACAGTTTCAATAAATAATATTAGATACAGTCGTGATGTTGCTATTTTTGTAGCTACGAACTAATCCTTTAAAATTAAACATGATACCCTTTAAAATAACATGTAGGTAATTGTTTTTTCATCGTGCTGTTAAAATTAAAACAATAATTTCAGGTACTCTATATTTCATTTCTTATAAGTAGATTAATCGAAGTCTGCGATTATATTTATATATCAAATTTTATTATCACATTTCAATATTATGTTTATGTGCACTTCAAGCGGCTTTTGAAAGAGAAAGAAAGAAAAATCTTTATTAGTTACAAAACAAAGTGCATTAGCCCCCACACTAAGATTTCATGTGTCGAGGGTAGCTAGTCTCTTCCATTTGACATATTAACGGTACTTGACATACTAATTTCTACATTTTTATACAAAATAAACTACTGTTGCACCAATAAGAATACTTCACGTTTCAGCATAGGACAGGTTGAGAAGTTGTTTAAGATTTTAAAATCATCATCGTCACTGTTTTGTCTTCGATGTACTCGAAATTGCTGTGTTTAAATTTTCGTGCCTTTTAATATATTTCTTTTTATTTTAGTTGTGTTACTCTTAGTTTAATTTAAAAAGATCTTATCTGTGAAGCAATTTAAGGATAACTTCTGTAATTATAATTTGTATATTTTTTATATGTATCTTGTATTTATGATGTCATGTTTCCTTATTGAATATATAAATAATCAAAGTTAAGGTGTATTGATTAATAACAACAATATTATCTATATACTATAAAATATACACATTAAGTAATTGATATATGTAATTCTCAAGATATTTATCAATTCAGACGAAAGTAAACGTGACACAGATACATATATGTATAACGTAGGTTTACATTTTGAACATTATAATTGTTTTCCTATACGTAAGCCAAGTGAAGTAAGATAAATTAGAGACTGGCCATATACCTTATGGCCCAAAGGGGCTAATAGGTATATTTTGAATTGACAGCATAAATGCGAGGATGGCTTTCAATCAAAGATATTAATCTAGATTGACATGTCATGACATCAATATATTCTAAAGTAAATTGATATCTAAAAAAAAGTGCGTGCGTACAAAGTACACATGTCAGAAGTGAAACTTCTTTGTAAATTAATTATTGAGTAATTAAGCTGCCCAAATCTCATAATTTAATTTTGCCAGTCTTTCTATATTAATGAATGATACTAAGGCTAATTAAAAACCAGAACTAAAATTAGTTGTTGCTATGTCATATAGAAATACCACCATCCATATGGTAACAATTTCCAAATAATATAACAAATTCATTATTATCATAATTGCTAACTTATGTCCACATTTTCAAAAATAGCCAACTGGGTTTTAGCAAAAAAGGTCTTGGTTCTGTGCCCTTTTAAAAATACAAAATCAATAAAAAAATAATAATTTAGTTACTTAATAAAATATTAATGATATGTATTAAAAACACCATTGGTGTTCAAGCACATCTCTATTAAAGAAAAAAAAATTGACATAAACGCTGCACATCTTCGTGACGTTCCGTAAAAACTTTACCCTCATGCGCCTAACGAAGTTTCACTTCAAAAGCCTCCTTCACAGCGATATTGTATATATAACGCCTACACAAAACTGTGACAGCTAGCGCACAAATGCGCCAAAACGATTCTTAACGCCCCAAACTGTAAACGAAACGTTCGATTCGTTTTTGTCACGATACATAAAATTGAAAATAAAGTATTTAAATACAATAATACAATTAATAAGCACGCATCAAATTAAAGTATTTATCAAACTTAACTGTTACAATTCAACATTTTGACGATGACAAATTTTACAAGACTATAGGTGATTCCCGTAAAGGTTTATCACTCGTTGTTAAGTTAATCAAATCACTTAAGTTATTGCGCAGTATTCACACAGGGAGATATCAAACAATGAGCATTATGCTTTTCTAGGCATGCGATCGTGATATTCATGCAAATGCGACAAAGACTTTTAAATCTAGGTAGAATCTAGTACTGAGCCTGAGGTATTTGTTGTGATGGTGAAACATTTAAAATTCATTTAAATATCAAATTTGACGGTTTACAATATAAATTGACAGCGAACTAATAGGAAATTAGATACAAGATTTTAGTCTGGTATGTTATGTATGTATGAACATGCTAGTTTACGGATCACCTCTAGTTTACGAACACTTTTAAATGAAGTCGGATATGATACATTTCCGTGAATACATATTCATTGTAATCTCATCTTATAATTATCATAATTCTGGTATGACTGATATTTTCCTTTGAAAAATTACCTAATGTATCGTATTGGGGCATGAATATAATATCATAAAAATTCGAGTGCTCGCCAGTTAGCTTACAATGATAATAAGGAAAGTTACTTTCGCTGGAATGATATATTTTAATTTTATGTCCTAATCATTAAGATTTAATTTGTAACGCTCTCAAAGGCCGGCAACGCTCCCACTAAAATGGGTGTACATGGGCTGCGATGACTGCCCTCTTTGGGCGTCCAGGAGGGTGGTAAACAAAATAATTAGATTACGTCCAGAAAATAGTAATATGAGTTTATACCGGGCTGTAGAGGAAATTCTTTCGAGTGGTCAACTTTCATACTAAAATCGCATCCTGATGAATTCATATTCATTTCATCAGGATTCCATTTCGAACAGAACGTCGAAAGAAAACAAAAAAGGCTAATGCCTTTTAAGTTTACCGTTTCAAAGTTAAAATACGCAATTTGATTTTATTATTTTCGACCATAATTGTAGATCGTTTGAGTTCGACAACTGAATAATTGGCATTTTTATTAACAACATTAAAAAAGAAAGACGTAACAACACCTTATACAATAGACGTTCATGTTAAATAATGTTTTTTGCGTAACTTTCATTGTTAGTTAATTGTTAGTCATTAATTGGTGCAAAACTGGGTTGCACTCCCCATCCCTATCAAAAAGTATGGTAGGATTTAGTCGAGACTGTATGTAGAACTAAGTATGATTCTTGTATGTTATTTGATTTTGACAACCGGGTTTCATAGTTCAGGTATGTCTCCTATTTTTATATCTGTAACATTTGGTATTATATAATACTTATACTATTATAACATTATTAATCCTGTAAACTTTCTAGCTATTACCAGTAGGTAAATATAAAACAATTATAACTAATAACAGTAAATAAAAGTATGTGTAAACAAACAATTATTAATTTACTATTTAAACACCGCGTACTGGAATCCAATATAAGTGCCCTCTATTGGAAAGTTTTTGAACTAATAACAAAACTTTACTAAACTTAATGCATTTGAAAGGTATATAAACAATATTATTGATTACCATACCTACTAATAAAATTGTAATTTAGAACGTTATGAAATATAAATAAATTAAATAAATAAATAATATAAATATATTAAGTATATTAATAGAAAATGTATAACTTGACTACTATTCGATAGGTGGCGCTGATATATTATTCTAGTGTCCATACGCTGGTAGTTAAACATAGTACGTCATTTCTTATCACAAATAATTAATGTATTGAAAAAAACACGTTTGCTAATAATTGTTTAAAACAATAGATAATTTATGAATTAATTACCATGCGTAACTTTTCAAAGTGTTAATTTCTTGTTGAAACCCAAACAGTTTTACAGTAATATAATGTCTGGATTAATTAACGAAATAAAACAACGCTTTTAAAATAATTTGTTTACTTAATAAACAAAATATAGTGTATTAATAATTAATAATTTTAATTCATAAACAATTTATTCATTTGTCAAAAATACATAATGTAATGTTGTATTAAAATATTATATTAAATTTGTCTAACCCTACAATGCAATATTAAAATAGATACATATTTTAAATATTCGCTAAATAAAAGGAACGTGAAACATACCTAAAACCTAATTACAATGAGAAAATGTCTATGGAATGAAAATGAAAGAACATATTCCTTCAAAAATGCATTATGAAGAACAATTCGTATTACTAAAGCCACATTCTTTAAACATTTGACTTACGTCGTATGAACCTATGGAACATAGATGTAAATACAATCTTGTTTTGTGAATATAGCAAATTATCACAAAAATACATTTTAAAACTAATACTATCTATGTTTAATACATGAAATCAGTAGATTTTGCGCTATTAAAACAGCCCATGTATTAAAATAATTGTTTACATACATTATAAAAAATATGTAATGGTCATATGTCAAAGCGTCAAAATATATTATATAGTCTATGCTTTCCAGCGCTCCGCGCTTTATGTAACCTCCACGCAGGTTTTAACAAGCTAGACCGCCTCCTTCGTTTCTCTCGAACTCTCGTCGCACATATTCCGCTTGTTTCTCGTTCAAACCCAATCGGATTATGTCTTGTTCAAATTGCGTTTTCCCGCCAATTCCCACCAAATAGCCGTTCAGTCTGGCCGCTACGTGTGACGTTTGTAGTTTCTTAGAATCCAGACCAAGGCTGCGACACAAATCTTTGTGACCTTGCAATCTGTATTTCTGGTGGTAACTGAAAAATTTAAATGTGTAATTAGTATTTGTTAAATTTAAAATATTTAAAGTTAGGAGGGATTATGAATTGCTTTCAGAATAAACATAGGTTTAAGAAAATAAATAGTAAACATGTAAATTTTCCACACAAAATTGTTGGTGTATTTGGAGTTGGACACTATTTAAATAGATATTCGTAAACATCCAAATTATAATTATCAGTAATGTAGTTCAGTAGATCGTCATTAAATATATCACTCGAATATATATTATATAGACGCCGACATCCTAATAATCTTTACGAAATCCAAAATACGTTGAACTACGTACAAATTGTACAAATGTCATGTCATTTCCACACACTGGACTCGAGGGAGAAAAATTGCAAATACTCGTGTCAACTATTACTTATTGAAAGGTTAAGTGGTCCTATTGACAGCTGATTTCTCTAAAGGAGTGGGCCTTGACATTATTATTCAAATGATAACTTTAAATATTCATATAATATTCTAGACACTACGGGCAAAAGCCGTCTTTTAACAGCTTGTACTCAGTAGTTACTTTAGTATAAACGATTGCTTAGCATAATCTTAACTAAAGATTTAATGAAGATCGAGCTTAAATCTGAATCTAGGTGTGTTAATCAGTATGTAGTCGTTAACTAATCGGGCATTAAATCTGTAATTAGTATATAGAATTAGAGACAATTTAATGGATGTAAATTGATAGTTTGTTCTTTAAAAGCAAGACGAACTATTGTTAAAAATTTACAGCGGTCGTTTATGAATAAGAAGGTATGATTTTTATTTTCATGTAAAAATATCTAAGAAAAAATATCCAAATTGTGATTCAAAAATTTATTTTATTTGGATATTCAGAATAGGAAAAAGATTGCACGTTAGACAGGAACATGAAAATCGGCAAAAGTAATCGGCAAATGTTGGGATTATTGAGTCAAAAATCATCAATTAGCTATTAATACATACTCTTCAGCTGGGTAGAAGGGACCCGCTGGTGCAATCTCTGTCCGAAGCTGCCCGTTGCACTGATTTTGCATAACTTTGTATGAGGACTCCGCCGCGACTTGCTGTTTCTCCTCGTGGTATAATATTAGGGATTGGTACTGGAATATATAACGTCTTTAATTAATTTTACATTAACATGTTATAGGTATTTTTATTTATGTACTACTGGCCAATATGCACGGCTCATCTTATAATTTGGAAATAAATAAAGTCTAGGTTCAAATTGTTAATGGTCAAACTTTGAAATCGGTACAGTTGTTTTTCAGTTTATTTATCACCACCATACAAAAAACAAACTTTATGATATTACTAGATGATGTAAATACCTACTTGGAAAGCCGATAAACCCAATTGTAGTGGCAAGAGTACATATAACTAGATTCCACGAGCGTAATAATTGATTTTATTTTCAATCTCCCATTTCTTCACTTACGTGAAAGACGACGAAGTTTTCACATATTAATTCGTATAAAATATGATCGAACTTATACTTTTATCAAAATAAGTAACAGTTTAATAACAATGAGAAACGACAAAATCTTAAACATTTTTTTTCATTTCAATTCATTTTTTTTTCAATTCATTTCAACTTAACGCTAAGTCTCGACTCTGAATCTCACGCCTAGAGTTAAGAATCATTATGATTATAGCCGAACAGCAATATTTTACGGTACCTAAATCTACGTATAAATAAAATTATTCTGTATTTCCATTAATCACCAATAAAGGGCGTAAAACGGACAAGAGCTGGCAAGAACCTCTCACTCATACTTTTAATCACCAACTTCTTTTTGTTACATTATGGTTTTTGCTTGTGAGAATTTGTATGTACCACGCCGATTTATTTATTGAAGCATGGTTATTCTCATTAATTATAATAAGTAAATAGGTCGAAAGGTAAAGAGAATCCAAAAGTATAGCGTAAACAATTTGACAGAAACAGAAGAAAGTTGAAACAGTGCTAATAGACTGATTCGTTGATATGTTATTCGATAACATACCCAAAGAATAAATATGAATTTCGAATGACACAGCGTTACTTCAAATGTATAACTTTAATACCTGTCTCTTCAATTTTTTGGTAAGTCCATATTCATGGTTCGCCCAAAACATCTTAAGCAGATCTTCATAAGTGATGGTCTTTGGGTCGTAGTCCAGTTCTATAACTTCTGTATGATCACCTCTGAAATTTACAATAAAATGATCATGATGAGTTTAGTAATTAATATGCTCAATGCTAACTAAAACAAGAGGGATGTATGAATCGGAACTCGGTACCAAGATATAAAAACGCTAAATATGAAGACCAATATAAATGCTTTTTACTCTTGAAAATAAATGCTAATCTGTTTTGTACACAAAAAATACTCTTTTTTAAAGTAATTTCTCAAACGATTTGCTTCATAGCGGAGTCACAAACTAGCAAGTGATAATAGCTATATTAAAATGTGATTAACAAATCACTTGTGGCTCTCTAATCCTTTTCAAGAAATGTAAATATGTTAATTAAATTTTAATTGCCATGCATAGAGGTAACTTCAATCATTCTGAGTCGAGCCTTGACGCTAAGTATGACTTCCATATGTCAGATTCAATAGGTATCTTACCATTAGCACGACGTACGACTCAATCATGTAAAATCCACGGAAAATATGTTATAAATTTTTTTTACTGTCATAGCGTGTCTTTTTATAGATTACTAGCTGACCCGGCAAACGATTGTTTTGCCATGTATATTATTTCTAGGAAAAAATTTTTTAGTTCATTCAAAATAATTATCTACTATAACAAAAAAATGGGGTTGATCGTAGAGGAGTGAAAATTAAGGATTGTATGTATTTTTGTATGCTAAGTATATCATAAAAAAATAAAAACAAAAATCGAAAAAATATTTTTTTTGGGGTGGATTTCCCCTTATTTTTTATTAGGGGTTTGAAATATAGATAGTAGCCGATTCTCAGACTTACTGAATATGCATAAAAAATTTCATAAAAATCGGTCGAGCCGTTTCGGATGAGTATGGGAACGAACAATGTGACACGAGAATTTTATATATTAGATTACATTTTGTAGTTTTTCGAAAACAATAAATCCTGAAGTAATGTGGAATGGAATTTTATAGACAATTTACACATACTCGTACAATGAAGGAAAGCCTCGTCAAGCAGACAATCAATGACGTGTTGATCTATGGATTGTCTGCGAGGCACATAATGCTGATAATGTGATTAGCCTATTAAAGCCTCATATAATCTATGAAACCGATGTAGACACGTATCTGTCACATGCCCAGTTCGAGTATTTCAAGAAGATAATAACAAAAATAATCGACTTTTAATAAAAGGGCCGATGCGCAATACCGTCTTCACCATAAGGGCACACGGGGCCTGTGCCCAGGGCCCCCATCTATAGGGGGCCCCGAAAGACCGACAATTTCTCTCCCACATTTATTCTCAAAACATTTTTGTCGGGCACATTACACTTTTTTCACAAATCAGTAATCAAAAAAGTTATCAGAAGGTATTTACAAGGCATATACTACGCCATTATATCGATAACTGCGCCTATTCCTACTGTACTAATTAATAAAGATATAATAGAAGACTGAACAGAAATCTCGAAAGAAACCGTTATCGTAATCGTAACCAAAAAACCAGCAGCATTCTAATATCAATAATGACATAATATATCATACTGTATTTGATGACCTAAATGGTCATACTTAGCAATTTTTTTATTATAATTAGCTTATTTTTACTTTCCAAATGGGCCCCAAATTCTCGTGTGCCCAATGGCTCCAGCCTAGTTTAAGATGGCCTTGCCGATGCGTCCAGTCTCTAACCAAATTTCAATTTGTTTTCCTTTAATCTCAAATAAATTATTCAAGTTAGATTTAATGGTTCTCAATTCTAGACACGATTGTTTTAAACTCGGTCAACGTGCCAAAAATAGAGCCCGCATGCGTAGACGACGCCTTGGCCTTGCCGGCACAACCTTGGCTTATACAAACATACAATGTCGTGCAATTATTTTGAAATTTTATGATAAGGATTCATATAATTTCCTTCTGGCAATCTGATTGTCCATGGGCGAAGGTAACACTTAACATCAGATGATTAAACTCACTTAATGAGATAAGACAAATTATTGCCTGAAACAGCACATAGAAAACAACTAAAACTAACCACAAGTTACATCAAGGAATAATATTAGGAAATTTTTACAAGGAATATTATTATAGAATTGTTAGGTGCTTTGAACGGGTTATTATTTTCTATAGAACAATAGTACATTTGTATAACGAATATTTTTATAGTCATGACATTACATACATTTATAAGGTGTTTTGTTATAAATGTAGTTGTATGTTATGATAATTCAATCTAAAAGTATAAGGTTTCATTGTTAACTCTGTAACATAAACATGCCAAGGTAGTCGGGTTACGTGGACAGGTAGATCTAAACATATTTAAGCTTGAACTTTGAACCGTTAAAGATTAATTTAAAACTACTCATATGTAGCTAAATTAATTTACATTTTCTATAATTAAAAGTGTAGAAGAGACTCGATTTAATAATTATAGCTTATATAATCGTTTTATTGTAATTACAGTAGTACAATAATTACGCAATACACACTCGTGCGAGATTAATGACCACGTATGTATGTTGTTTTAACGGTTATGTTAAAACTGTTTTAACTGTAGTAAAGATAAGTTCATTCATTTAATTATTATTTTAATTGTTTTTTTTTATACATAATAACTAGGTTACAATGTTATGAATGAGTTTCGTGGTAATGTAATTATTATAGCTCACGATTTTTACTTTTATTTTATCTATTTTAAGAACTACTTCAGAAATACAGTAATGAAATGAAATAGTCATTTAGTTTTAACCAAAACTATTAGTGTAAATTCGATACAATTAATACATATCATGCAATATTTACACTTTCATCTTTATTGCGCATTACAAATGTTATTTGCCAATACAAATGTTAAAAATAACAAAAGAGCATCATGTACCTATGTATTTTTTGAATCATCCCATGCGTGGAACAAAAATATGGTCGCCTACCAGTCTTTAGTCTAAGTTCTCTTTCGGTTTGCATACTACTTACCATGACTTTAATAATCTAAAATCATATCTTTCGATGACTTGAGATAAACAATTTAATAAGGCACTTGATAGCCCGGATTTTACAAAAGGTAAAACCTTTTTTAACAACTTCCCATTATAAAAAATGCTTTCGATTATTTCCTCGGCGAAATTGGGTTTTATAGTTAATTTTACAAATTGTATCGTGATTTCCAATACGAAATGTAATCTTATAATTCATCATTATCAATGGCTCCGCAAGTATATTTCACAATCTATTTGGTGTTTCTTGTGTCTATTTCGAACATCTATTGTTTCGAACTTTCGAGGTCCTTGACAACTCCCATCCTTAATCTTATAGTTAGCACTCGCAATGCAATGGTTATTTTTTAAAAAAGGACTTTTTTATTATAAATTTTATTTATTTATTTATAAGGTTGTGCAACACTGTGCAATGAAGTCAAGTGATATATTTCTATTTCTATTTATATTTTCTATCATGACTAGACAATTTTCTACAAATCGTAAAAGTGACTAACGAGATAAATCGTGAATTGTATACAAACTATGAAGTTATCTTGCATTTGAATATATTGATAGTATTATCTGACCTTGACACATTTTTGTATTATCGCAAAAAAATTATTTTTACTACTCCAATCGTTTTTTATCTTGTCTATGAATACTTTTTATGACAAATTCTACAGAGCACCAATACTAGATTTGTGTAGTTATATATGCAGGGCCGCGCCGACCCCCGGCAGCGCCTGTGTGCGAAACCCATGAAGCGCCTCCTTTTTCTATAGGGGTCAAACGAGCCTTAGGGACGGAAAAAAATGGCAGTCATTGAATCTCATAGACATTTTTAGCGGGTGTGTTGCAGGCCTTTGAGGGAACTCCTTCTATATTTCGGCCTATTTTTTAAGAATCTTCAAGTTTCAATGTATTTTTTAATTTTGACTGAAAGAAAATTTTTCTTTAGTTTAATCCACTTAAATAGGTAAAACGTCCGCTGGCCAATTGCCGTGAAAAATAAAACGTGAATTAAATTGTTACATAGTTTATTTATGATGTTATTTTTATCTAACCGTTTTTAAGGTCAGATTTATGACATATCTTTGTAATAAATCCCATCTTTTAGTAGAGGACGAAAAATATTTATATAGTTCTTGCACAATATTAAAAAACGCAGTCGTGTATGAGATGTGCAGCGTCATTTATTATTAAATTTAAACTATGGCTGGCGCACGGACATAAAAAGTGCGGAGATTTACTCGTACATCCCGCAATATTCTTACCGCGCATATTTGAGCCATTATCATAGCCTTGCCCCCTTAAGTTCTTTATGTCCAAATTAATTTCGTTTAGTTTTTCTATTATAAATGACGTTACTCCAGCGCCAGTTGTATCTACGATTGAGCAGAAAGTGCTATTATAAATTGGAAAGCTAGGAAATGCTCTCTTATTCTTAACTTTCTAGTTTACATGTTAAAGTTGACAAATCTTATTATCATACTAATTTGCTCTTCGTGTGAAACGTCAGTAGTACAATCCAGTATTATTGAAAAATATTTATTAATTCGACATAAATTTAAAATAAAATGTTGAATTTGGTTACCGAGTATAAAAAATAGTTCATTTTGGATTTTATCAAGGTATGTCGGCATATTATTGAAATCATAAGACATAAACACACTCAAAAAACTCACGGCGGTCACCAGCGGCCTTTCTTTTGATTCGCTAAGCTCTGAGTAATTAATGTAAACTAAAACCTAAAGCGTAAAATGAAACTTCAAACGTACGTAAGAATATTGTAGTGTAGTATAAATAATTTCGGTGGCGGCGCCCTTATTGTATCAGCGCCTGTGTGCACCGCACACTTCGCACACATGGGCGGCGGCCCTGTATATATGGTTTTATTTATTATTTTAAGCATAAGTAACATTTGAGTCGAGACTTACCGATGATCAATCCTTTTCTGACATACGGGAGTTATACTTAAGACTGTCGCTCTAAATCTTATCCTTGGATGTTTTTAAGTAATAAAAAAATTATAAATCATTTATGTTGTAGGGCATAAGCGAGTACGTAAACCGGTAAATTTTTTTTAAAATCATTAAAAAATTAAGATTTATCAATGGCAAATATTATATGTACTTAGAAAAGGTATAACAAAAAAAGAAAATAGTTTAAATAATATGTTTAGGAAAAATAACCCTTAACAGATGCTCTGTATTCTGTGTTTTTCATATAGTAGAGGAACCTTATCATAAAAATATGAATATTAAAACCAAACCGAAATCAATAGCCTTTGCAGGTACTTGATTTCAGTACCGTCGTATACTGTGCGTTAATTGTATATTTGTATAATTATATTCATATATCTTTGCCACTTTTTAATCTACTTATAATAAGTTATATACCGTGGTGAACGAGCTTAAATTGTTTAGCTAACTTAAGTTAGAGTCTGACATGTCTTCGAGTTTTGGATCTTAGATGCGCTGTTTTCCTCACGATTTCTTCACTGTATAAGTATACTATTATTCAACATTTAGATAAATGAATTATTACAGCCGAAGTTCTAACACAACTTCAGGTTTAAAGGTCGCAACACACTGCCCAGAAAAAGTTCACGTGAGGGCACAGATTTGGGTATAATATTAAATTACATATGAAACTATAAATCTTACAAGTTTCTGTAATGAGGATTTTTCGTGGTACCACCGGAGTAGCCGACTCTGGTACGGATGACGCCTGGTGTGACTCCAAAAAGGGAGTCATTTGACCAGAAACAACCCATTCCAAAAGTTGCTTTCTTGGTTGGAATGTCAACATCGTGCAGGAGAGCGGCCTGTTAAAAAAATATATTTATTTATTTAATAAGGTTGTTGGCATTAAGGTAATTCTGTCACAGAATTATATATAAAAATACAGGACAGAATTTGCTATTTATAAAAACAAATTAGAAAATACGGTATCCTAGTGTTGTTTAAAAATAAAAAATCATAAATCAAAGTATTCATGATTCCGTTTTCTTTTCAAGTTCAAGCACAGGATCTGGTCTGTAATTAGTAAAAACCAGTCTTCCAACGAATTTTCAAAAAATTAAACCAGCTTTCTTCCCGACTAAGGAATTCGAATATAAACCTGTTTCCGAAACAAGACTTCAAAGTTTTCAAAGACCTATAAGAGCCCCTTTTTATTGGCTTTTAAAACCTAGATACTCATGGTTTATAAAATCAGAAATATAGACTATGATTTGGCAAGAAGGTAAACATTTTAATTAAAAAACAAACCCTAAACATCGTAAATAAATATAACAAATTCTAGCAGGAAGCCTGTCGACTAAACGAACTTGAAGAAAAGTCTTGTCACTTATTGGCTCAGATTAAACCTTTATTATTTAATCTGTGCTTAAAGAAATATAACGTTTGTTATAGGATCGCTAATCCTTTATACTGCAATTAAGATTGAGATTCCACATCATATAAAATATATAGAATAATACATAGCTTTTGCTATGTTACTTTCATGTATTTTAAATAAAACGTATCATAATTAACGTTTTTAGAAATAACTCAGAGAATTTTTATCAATTGCTAAGTTTTCCAAGTTTTTACTTTCGTCCTCAATTTCAAACGGTCAATCACTTAAATTGTAGGACGTAGTTTAACCAATATAAATCGTACATGACGAATATATTCTATTTCTGTTTATTAAAATTGCCAACTTCCTTTGAAGATTTCATTGATGGGTCAACTGAAAGTTTTTGCATAATTGCTCCAACGATTTCAACATAGTTTACATCCTAAAATCATCATGTATTTTATTCGCTATAAATGCTTAGCGTAAACGTGGTATTAGGAAGTTTCTAGTTTAAATAAAGAGAACTTTAGTTTTTATGCCACACATTTAAACCTACCGCATTTTTCTGTCTTCAAAGACAAAAATACGGAATCAGATTCATTAAACTGAGACGCAAATTACATATTTTTATTATTTAAGATTATCATAATTTCGTTAGAAAAACTAAACATAATTTGGAAAACGTCGAAATCAATAATTAAAATGCGTAGACTTTTTCAACACAAACAAAATATTAGGTTACTTACATTAGTCGGTGGCTTCATATTGCAGAAATGTCGTAATAACTTCAACATATATTTTTTCAGGATTTTTCTATAGGCCGAGCAGCTGTCGTATTATAAATACTGAGTGAAGCCGTGACACATCAAGACGCGGCAGCGGTCCGGCGAACACTGCCGCAATTCATAAACGTAACTTATCAATACCAAAAAATTTACGCAGCGTAGCGTTAAAGTAATATTTTCTAATTTAATGTCACTTGACACGATGATAATTCAAAAGAGTAAGCAAATGAAAAACGCCCCTGCGACTTTTCTAAATAGATTTTTCAAAGGTAAATTTGCTAGAGGTAGAACTTCACATGTTTCGAAAGTATAATTGAATAAGAAAGAATAATTGTCAGTCCTGCGATATTCGTCAAGTGGATGTTCTTTCCCATCAGTCATGATTTATGGAATAGCCGAACAGGACACAGGTGCAGGGTCAGAACGGGAACATTTTATTCTAAAACAATGTTTTAAACGTTATTTCAAGGCGTGTTGCTGACTGGTAACTAACCATGTTTGCAAATCACATTACATTGAGGACAATGATCGACATGCTTGAAATATTGGCAAGTCGTACGTTCGATATGATGCAATGACCGTTAATCTTACAGTGAAATGAGAATACAAAGTATGGTAGGAATATTTTTTAGGTTGAGTGGATCACTGTCGATTCTCTAGGGAAGTGTTTCCTTAGCTTTTATGTTCCATGCCCCCCTTAAGACATGCTAAAGTTCTTAAGCCCATATGTAACATACATTATTATTAATATTAAAACATTGAATTTAATTAGGAAACTTAGCCGATAGGTTTTGAGAATAAATTATTAGGAGAGTGTGAACGAAACATAATAAGTATTCAAAACATGTAATGACAAACTGAAATTCAAATTCCAAATATTTTTTATAAATTTTCGAATAGCCCTTAACAATCAAATTGTCCCCGTGTGGGGCTTGGACCCCACGTAGGGAAACACTGCTCTAGGGTAGGTGAATAACGTACTCATTTACTATCTGTCTTTGGCATTTAGTCACTGGGCTTGGCTCCTAGCGCTCCGCAAAACACAACCACAACACGTAGTCAACAGCTGTTTCTCCGTTAAAATTTATAAACTTATTTAAAATTATGATAAAACAATTACTAATATTTGACAGGAACCATAAATAAAAATTCAATGAGAAAAATCGTTCTTTAATTTTGATTGATATCGCAAAGGAGTTTAACTTCTAATAAAGCACAAACTTTTCTGTAGTTTTGCTAAGTATTTTTCTACATCTTCTACTATAAGATTTATATTTATGTATCTAATAAATTAAAAAATTGCTATTTCATAAATTCTTTCACAATTAAAATGCTACATTATTAATTAAAATCAATATTATTATCCCAGAATGACAGGCTCAAAAAATTGCAAAATATTTTATATTAAATATTTTTAATAATAAATATACATTTTCTCGCAGCCGGTCCCTAATACTATTTTACAATATACACTTTTAAAATTATGAATTGCCCATTGTTGGAAGTCGATACTAAGTTTTCATAGCAATTCTGTACTCAGTCAATGTTGCCTTATGTTGCTGTCAAATTTGAAAAGGTATAAAAATACAACTTCGATTTCAATAACAAATTTATTTCAATTAATAGGATTTAGGAATCACGTAATATAAAACACTACTGCTTAGGTCATTAAGTACACATATAATTATTATGAGCTCAAAAGACAACAGTACTATTTGCATTAACATTTCTAAGAATAATTTGTACCGTATACATGATTAAACAGTAGTAAATACAGGCACATAACCATTTTTTTCATATATAAGTAAATAATTTGGTTAAAATTGTCGACAATTGCTTTTAAATCCAAATATACCGAAGATATTTTTCTATATGCTTTTTCTTGCCATCATACATGCCTAAAGTGAAGACAAAATGGATTCATAGTGCAACTCGGTTAAGGCAAGAAAAGGCAGGGGTAGGTAAACAGTAGACAAGTCAAAAATTCCCTATAATTTTTACACAAAATTTTCTAATGCACATTCTATACAAAACAAAATATTTTTTATGTAATTTTTAAATATAATCTCTGGATAAATTCTTCGTGTAACAGGAAAATATATTTTAAGGCAAGATATTACGAGGCACTGTTATAATTTTTATAGGCTAGAACTCATATGAATACCAATTATGTTTATCCAAAGATGAGTCATATAAAATATTTACAATTTCCATAATTTTAGCTGTCGATAGATTTAAATAATTCTTATTATATATAACCTCGATTATCACACTTTAGCTACGATAGTATGGCAACACTTGTCAAAAAGCGCCAAAAGAATTACTTTATTTTACGACACATTTAAGACGAAAATTTTCAATCAGGGCTGTACTTTTAAACTAAAGACTATACTTTATGTCACAAGACGTACTTTGCATTTTCAAACATAATATCGCTACAACAAAGGTTTTCTAGCAGTTGTGTTTCTTTGTAGGTGCTGTTAGGTTAGGTTTTATTAAATGCTTAAAATCCTTATAGACAAGACTGACAATTAAAAAAATCTGTCTTAATTAACTCTTTTAAAACTCATACCGCAGCTAAAATACAATAATCAGGCCCAACATAGGACGGGATATTTCCAAGTAAATAATTCCTGATAAATGCTTTTAAATACTATTCAAATAAATTATCACAAAACGCTGCCTGTAAAATAAAATGCTTTCAAAACTAATACTGTACAACAACCATCTTGTGCAAGGCCTTGTGTAAGAGAAACCGATCTAAGTACTTCTTAAGTACGATTATTCTAATGACTATGATATGGACGAATGCTTTACTAGTGAATGAAGACTTAAATTAAAAAATATAGCTCCAAAAAGTATTTACTATATACATAGATAGTGGAATGTCCGAGTCTGTGGTGCATGACAAATATTCACTCAAATTGGATAGCTGTATGTCTCTCTGTTCAGGGTGAATATGTGAGCACCATGTATCTACATAATAATTTAGTTATCTGCTGCATTGTTTTTATTCTAGGTACATGGTCTTCACATATAATTAATCAATGTATACAAAATATTTCTTGCCCATTCTTCTCCATATGAAAATCTTTTGGAAGGAGCAACTAGCCATTTTTTTTAATATTTTTGACTTTCAAAGGTACCTTTTAAATTGGCCAAAAAACGGGAAAAAAATTATTTAAAACAGCACTAAACTTGATCTTTATCTGTCAGGCCACCACACTTTTAAAACTTTTATGATATAGGAAACTGATCTAATGTACATTGAACGAATTATAACAATATTATTTACACAGAACCTACCAAAGATACATAACGATAAAAGCAGTAAAGATTGGCACAGATAACACAAACTGGAAAAAATTACATAAACGCTATAAAATTTCTAAGAAAACGTCAAATAGGTCCAAACATGGCCCCTCAATTTTAACATAGCCATCATTTCCATTAGCTATTTATTTATTCTTCATAATTGTATATATAACAAAATCAGTGCAATATTATAAACTTGGCATTAAAATTTCTAATGACGTTTAAAAATAGTGTTGGGGTCATTCACCTTACGTTTCTGAACTTTAAACTTGACTCAATCCCTTAGCACGAAAAATACGTATAATATAGAAACATTTTTTATATAGTGATGTATTACAAATTCAACGGAGGGATGAACGTAATTGTAAGTATTCATGTTGTTCATTCATTAATATACATAGACAATGAACGGGTTCGAAACGTCAAAAACTACCACAATTGACATATATTTGACAAGATCATCGTATTAAGTGTGCTAAGGGAAGCGATACAGTTTACGTCTAACTATTATTTATTTATTTTTAAAAAGGTTAAAATATTTAGAACTTTGTTACATATTGTATATTCATATTAAACAAATCCAGTCTTTATGAATGTAAGGATATGATAAAGGAAGAATTCGTGATTAAATTTACAAGTGATCATGTTTGAAGATTTCCTAACCAAGAAATATTCAACAGATAGATATCACGTTGGTTTTCGACTCCTCAAGAAAACCAACTAAGCTTTTAGAGTTACCATTACACTTTGGGGAAATTTGAACTTTGTGTACACAGCTTAAGCAAATGCTTTGTGAGGATTGGCTAAGGATGGCGTTATTTCAAAGGCTCAAAAGTTCCCCAACGCATTTGGGCTTCAAAATAAATCACATACATTTTATTGTGAAAATTATATCATCATATAAACAGCAAATTTCTTTCCTAATTACGTTATATTAAGTTTCATGAATATGCATGCCATTAGTATAATTAAATTAGATTGTGACTAAAATAACATTAATTATTTAAAAATCTCCTTTAAACAACTTTTTGATAATATGCTCTTATTACATATAGACATTGATAAAACTCACAATGACTTGAAAATATTCTAAACTACCCTCTTTTTTCCTCTCATAAAGTTATGAATGAATATTATTGATGTAGGCGTCAGGCCGCGTACTATTTAAATATATCCTTGATTAAATACAGTTACTATAAAAAAAAACAATATTAAAATACACATAACATGCATATTCACAGTAACATAATTTGAACATTCACAACTTCGATATCACATTATTAACAGGCAATTCAACGATAATGGAAATATAAATGGAATGTTTCAAATGGAATACACAAATCAAAAACATAATTAAAAGTAGGGTAGAGAAAAAATATTCATATGCAATATTATAGATAAAATATTCATTACATAAATTACTAAATACTTGATAAATGCGATTATTATACATTACTAAAGATATGAGCTCTATATTTTGATCGTAATAAGGTGTAAGTTCAAAGAATTTATTTTGAGTTCTCATTAATCAAGCAACATATAAAACGCTGACTTTCATTAATTATGTTTCAATATATTTTGTCGTCTTAAAGACCATTGAATGCTTATAACTATCACACGCCCTATTGGCAAGCCAATGGCAATATTCTATAGGCAATAATAAAAAATATGAAAATTTGAGAGGCCCTTGTTTTAACTTTTATAAATCTCGGCATGATGCATATAATATTCACTAGACATTTAACATTTTCCACGTCGAAAACAATAGATGGCGCCTATAAGATTTGTGAGTTTTGGAAACTTGCTCTCCAAAACCTAATCAGCGCCTTCTAATGGAAGTTTAAACACGTAATAGACAAATGGGGCATTGAAATTGTACCAAACCTAACCAATTTTATTTCTCACATGGAATATTTAAAGTATGATTGACACACGTATACCACACTTATCTATTTCAAGAACAAATAAGGTAGATTTATTTGCCACGGGAATACGTATTGAAACTATCACTGGCTAGAAAGACCTTTTAAATGACATCTTAAAATTGACACTTGCCAACCGAAAATGTAAATCCCCTTCAGCGCCATCTTGTTACATTTTCCGCATTTATTTCAGCGCCATCTACATGATGATACAACACCTATGCGATTTAGTGTCACCGACTACATCACTCGTGTGTCCTGAAAACCTTGGCACGGTACCTGAACTTGGCGATAATATTAGATTCTCTTGCTTTTCAGGTATGGAATTCAGACTGTGGTTATTCGAATTCACATTTGATTCAACGGGACTCCCGTTTGTTCTTATCTGCGCGCGCTGTTTTTTAAGATCCGCGAGAGTGCCTGTAAACATTTGATTATTAAATTATTGTATACAAATAATGATAAAAGTAGTTTTTGAATATATACACATATTATACATCACATTGCTTAACATGCAGACAATTCTAATCCTGATGTACATGTCTAATAAAAATATCTAATTGAGTAGAAAGACGTACTAAGACAGTGCTTCCTCTTAAAAAAATAGATTGAACTAAGGTATAACAGCTTCTAAATATACATTTTTAGCTTAATTTTGCATTTTCTTTACATTAATTTATCTCTCATAAATCAGCTCAGCTTAATTACAAAACATTAGATATTTAAGCTGGTATTGGAACTATTTCGTGGACATCAGAATCAGAACGAATGATAGATGGATAAACGTTTGCGTTCAGGGTTTTTAAATATTTAAAACGATATAAAATTACTAACTAATTAATAAACCTCTCACAAAATAAAAATCATTTTTGGCTGTACCTTCACTAATAATATAAAGAGGAACCGTATTTTTTATTTTTAACATTATGCTTGGAGCAACAAAAAATGTCTCCCTCAGTTTAACCTTGGCACTACTTTGAGTGTTGTTCCCACAGTAATGCAAGTGCATGCCCCTATTTCACCGCACCTTGATACAGGTGAAACGTTTGGTTTTCTATAATAAATATATACTTGAAGCATTAATTTTTTACTGACTTTCATAAGTACATTTTGTGCTGCAAGCTATTAAGAAAGGCATTTATAACAACGACGACTAAACGCGGAAGGACTGATATATTGAAAAAACAACTGAACGCAACATTATCGAATATAACATGAGGACAAATGTATGTTTAAACATGATTCTAACATACAAATTATAATCTAAATAAGACTTCATAAAGCAGAATTAATGTGTGATATAAGCAACTGTGACGGAATGTGTAACTTTCTCGCAGACGCTGATTTTCATAAGATGAAAGTACAATTACGCAATTATTACTTAATAATGGATCATCAAAATGTGTTTTGAGATGGTTTAAAAATTTCTTCCAAAAGGAAATTCTTTAAATATCTACTATAAACATATTTTAGGTCCGCTAACACTTATTTTTTTACAAGTGCTTAGATTGATTTGCGGTTCATTAATCTATCGTTATACAAATCTACTACATTTGATACAAAAAAGTTGTTGCGAAGCCATGACACAGGCAGATTCAACTTGTGAACACTACAGCAATCTAGTAGAACAGTTTTTAGTTTGTCACCATGAATTTAAACCCTTTTTGAAGTTATACTTCTTTAGGCGCGTTATGAAAAATTGATGAGAGTAAAATTTTACGATGCGCGCGCACCGTGACACAAAATTAACAGAATTAAGTTGCCCACGGAAGATGCTACGGCAAAACAACATTCAAATAATAATATAATTTATGTTACACTTAATGTAAGAGAATAATAATAAATATTTATTTATTTAATTTTTCAAATATAAACTGAACTTTATTGACTATAAAGACTCCTTTTCCAGTCTTGATTATTTAATTGTAATTAATTATTTGCATGCAATCAAAACTATTTTTAATAATGCCAAAGAAGTATAACTTCTTACGCGCGTACATAAGTACACGGACCCTTTTTTTTTCATAGATTTTTTTAACCCAAACATACTTCTCACAATTTAACAGATTTGTTACAGCATACAAAGTGTTGTCTAAATAAACAAATGAATAAATTATATTTTGATTTCATATATTATAATCTATGTCATCTCGGGACCTGATATGATTAGAATTATAAAGGGTATTCATTCTGTAGAGACATAAACCAAAAAATTCAGTAAAAATAAATAATTAATTTTAAAAATATATAAATAATGGATGTTAATATAACTTCGTCGTGCTTTACTAAACAAGCAAACATGTTATTCTATGTGAATGAACGGATGGACTACGGAAAATAAACAGAAACACAAGTCTAAAACAGACTACAGAACAAATTGCCTTCTACCAAACTAACCCCTTACCTATAAATGGTTTTTATCTTCAAAAATCATCAAAAATATAACATTTCAACGAATTGCAAAAACAGTACAATTTTCAGTACCAAAAGACAATTGTTATTGGTTCATAGTAAACTATATCGCAGAGGGGGTGATATTTTGACATGACGTACGCAAAAAGTATTGGGGTAGAGGCATTTATAAGTAAGGGGACAAACTAAACTACACAACGATACAAAACAACAAAGAGACTTCTTGCCTCATATGCATCCTCAAGATATCCTCGTCCGCAATCCCTTTAAATATATAACTGTGCAAAATTGTTAGATAAATCTTTTATATGTTACTAATTGTCCACACTTAAATAGTATTCCATAAATTTGAGGGTATTTCCAAATTTAAATGTGGGTAGTTGTAACGTGCAAAATACATAGTGCAAAATGTGTCGTAAGGATGCATATCATACCTGCATTAATCATGACGGTGACATGAACATTGATTTTACCATTATTGTCTGTTGTGTACGTGGCCGTACTGCCGTCGGCGATGGCAATCTGGTTAGGAATTAACTCTTTCCTACCGTCGAGCGCATCTTCGCCCTTAAAACCATCATTATCTTGTCCTTCCGGCGCTTTTCGTATACCGTTAGGCAAGGTCCGTTCATATTTATCGTTCTCTTGTATCGTTTGTATGGGAGCCGGTGAGTAATGCGACGCTGCGTTCACACCGAATAATGGATTGGTAATTTTTGGTTGATAGTTGTCCTGTTCGGTGCGGTAGGAATGTTTCGGTACGGCGTAGTCTACGTTCTCCGACTCGTAGCTGTGGTTAGAAGTTGTGGAGCTGACAGACAACCGTGTATTGATGTCTGATAGACTCGTGTTCGGATCGTTATCGACACCGTTTGTTAAGCCCTGAAACAATATGTCAAGTTCATTATACGCGTGAGTAAACAAAATCAATAATATCAAGTAAAGTAAAACTTTTCGGTCTAATATGTTTTCGTACTCGATTACATTTTTCATAATGAAACCCTAGGAAATTGTAAATGCACTCTACCTGGTAAGGTACAAACGCTAATTGAAATCTATTATCTTTTGTTGGTAAAATAACTAATAAAATAAAAGTAAAACTAAATACCAAAGAAGTACTTAGGGATGCAAAAATACTATGTAAAAAAGTGAAATAACAATAAGTGGGTCACATGGTAAGAGAAGAAAGGGACAAAGAAGGTAGCAGAGTGTTACCCTAGGAAAGAGAAGCAGGTGAGTCGGGAGGACAATATAAGAAGATTAGCCGAGGTGGAATGGTATAGAATAGCGAAGAACAGAGGAACATGGCGACATTTGGAGTAGGCCTTTGTCGAGAGACAAGTTGATTGGTTGTTGAACATTAAATAATGCATAAAATAATTAAGTACTCAAGACCAAAACATAAAGGCTTGTTTTATTATTAAATATTGATATCCTATACAAACAAACAACGAAAATATTTCGATCACAAGATTGACGTAAGTCATCCACGATATTTATATCTGATTCACAAGATTTTTTCCATAAACACCAGTGACACACGCAGTAATATTTTAAATAGATAACAATTCTTAAACAAACAAGTAAATATATGACAACATGAGAAGGATAAGTCCTAATTTATAACTGCTTATCAAATTTGCAAGCTATGTCAAACAAATCTAGACTTATAAAGTTTGTTTTACTAATCTCAGAAACTACTAGGATAAGTATTTTTAACGCAGTATCTATTTTAGAAACTGCTTAATAAATAAAATAATAATTTTCATATTAGGAAAATAATATATGCTGAAAATTTGCTAGTATACAATTATTATATAATTAATAAATAATTAATTTTAAAATAAATAAATAATGGATGTTTATATAACTGCGTCGTGCTTTAATAAACAAGCAAACGTGCTATTCTATGTGAATGAACGCAACGATTACGGAAAATAAAAAAACACAAGTCTAAAACTGCCTTCTACCAAACTAACCACTTACCTATAAATGGAATGGAAAATGTAGAAAAATGAATCTGTCCATAAAAAAAATATAACATTTTAACGAATTGCAAAACATAGAAACTACTTGGTAGGATAAGCTTTTTTTAACGCAGTATCTATTTTAGAATCTGCTGAATAAATAAAGAATAATTTTCACATTAGGAAAATAATATATGCTGAAAATTAGATAGAATACAAATAGTCATAAATAAGGATAAGACGGTAATTTAGAGAACACGACCAGGACAAATATAATTTCCAAAAAATATATAAATATACTGAATAACAAATAGAATACGTCAAAATATTATTGCAATATTGCTAAGAATCTTTAATCTTAATTAAATTAGTATTTGATATATAATAAACAATGAATAATTTATTCTTGCATTAAAATTGTTTGAATATGCAACAATATATTTTTATATACAAAATTTTAGTAAATTTAGATTAAAAAACTATTTCGCCGCATAATTTTCAAATATGTATATGAATATTACGAAATCTACAAACCATAACGTTTCTCTCGTACTTAAGAGACCAAATAGTACCAAGATTAAATTCACATATGGCACACGAAAAAGAATTTGGGACATACCCTATATCTAAGCCCTAATATCTGTGGCTCCTTGCGTCCACGGTGTAAATTGTCATTAGTCAAAAACATAATATCCAGCGACATTTTCACACACAATCACATATGCACAAACACTGAATATCGTAATGCATTATAGACACGTCAGGCCCGTTCCACGGTGTGCGTGATAAGCGACTCGCGAGGGAAATCGCATGAAAATTGTGATTATAATCCGCTCATCGGAACGGTATTCGGTCGGGGGAGATGTCGTCAGTCAAATTTCTTAATATTAGGGGTTATCTATACTACTAATATTATAAAGAGGAATTTGTATGTAAGTATGTTTGTAACGAATTGGCTCAAAAAGTACTGGACCGATTTTAAAAATTCTTTCACCGTTTGAATGCTACATTATCACTGAATAATATAGGCTATTTTAATTGCAAGAAAAAACAAAGATCCCTACTAAAACTACAATAATGTTACCTAATGTGTAAAAAAATGCCTATAAAATATTTTTCATCGCATGCGCTGTGAAAACTATTGACGATAGAACAAAAAAATGTTCCACAATATTAAAGAACATATATATCTATAAAAAATGTTATGTCAATTACAACATCAACTTTAAATTAAATCAATAACTAATTAATCTTATTAATATTTTTTTAATGAAACTACAAAAATGTAATAGATTTGAATATACGTGTCGGTCCCAAAATTCTGTCCAAAATGGGAAAAATGATAAAAAAAAAAAATCCCCCCCCTTTTTTTAGGGGGAAAATTTTCCCTCCCAAAAAATCAAAGAAAGAAAAAAAAAACCCAAAATCTCTCCCCCCCCCCCCCCCCCCCCCCCCCCCCCCCCCCCCCCCCCCCCCCCCCCCCCCCCCCCCCCCCCCCCCCCCCCCCCCCCCCCCCCCCCCCCCCCGGTTTTCCCAACCCCCCCCCCCCCCCCCCCCCCCCCCCCCCCCCCCCCCCCCCCCCCCCCCCCCCCCCCCCCCCCCCCCCCCCCCCCCCGGGGGGGGGGGGGGGGGGGGGGGGGGCCCCCCCCCCCCCCCCCCCCCCCGGGGGGCGGGCCCCCCCCCCCCCGGCCCGGGGGGGGGGGGCCGGGGCCGCCCCCCCCCGCGGCGCGGCGGCGCCGCGGGGGGGCGGGGGGCGGGGGGGGGGCGGGGGCCGCCCCCCCCCCCCCCCCCCCCCCCCCCCCCCCCCCCCCCCCCCCCCCCCCCCCCCCCCCCCCCCCCCCCCCCCCCCCCCCCCCCCCCCCCCCCCCCCCCCCCCCCCCCCCCCCGCGGGGGGGGGGGGCCCCCCCCCCCCCCCCCCCCCCCCCCCCCCCCCCCCCCCCCCCCCCCCCCCCCCCCCCCCCCCCCCCCCCCCCCCCCCCCCCCCCCCCCCCCCCCCCCCCCCCCCCCCCCCCCCGGGGGGGGGGCGGGGGGGGGCCCCCCCCCCCCCCCCCCCCCCCCCCCCCCCCCCCCCCCCCCCCCCCCCCCCCCCCGCGGCCCCCCCCCCGGCCCCCCCCCCCCCCCCCCCCCCCCCCCCCCCCCCCCCCCCCCCCCCCCCCCCCCCCCCCCCCCCCCCCCCCCCCCCCCCCCCCCCCCCCCCCCCCCCCCCCCCGCCCCCCCCCCCCCCCCCCCCCCCCCCCCCCCCCCCCCCCGCGGGGGGGGGGGGGGGGGGGGGCCGCCCCCCCCCCCCCCCCCCCCCCCCCCCCCCCCCCCCCCCCCCCCCCCCCCCCCCCCCCCCCCCCCCCCCCCCCCCCCCCCCCTTTTTTTTTTTCCCCCTTTCCGGGCCCCCGCGGGGGCCCCCCCCCCCCCCCCCCCCCCCCCCCCCCCCCCCCCCCCCCCCCCCCCCCCCCCCCCCCCCCCCCCCCCCCTTTTTTTTTTTTTTTTTGCGCCCCCCTATTATTATTACAATCAAATTATTTGTTAATCATAATCACATTAATTTTAATTTCTTTCTAATTTATTTTGCATGCACACTGTTAATGAAACTGTACTATGGAATGCAAGAAATAAAAGGCTTTTTTTATTTTATATCTACAAAAGATGTTTAAAAAATAAATGTCCCCCTGTGCGAAGCCGGGACGGGCCGCTAGTCTCGTATAAAACTTGTGAGATCCATGTAATACCAAGTCGGTTAATTTTTTCAGTCCCTACTTAAGGGACTGTCTAAAACTACGTAATTGATAATTATAGTGACTAAATCAATACTAAAAATATTTTATGTTTTTAAATTGATAGACTCGGCCATCTAGACTTCTAATTTTATCCACATCGAAGGTCTAGGGAAGTCGAAAGTAGCCTGAACTGTTTCGAGAAAAGGATGGCACTGTCGCTTTTTTGAGAGGTTGTTCTAAAATTTGTTTTTCATTCACGAAAGTACTTCATTAGTTTCTCTGACCACAACTGCTAAAGCACTCGATTCGTATATGTGTTGGAATAAACCTCAAATTTGTGTGCTTTGTAAACTATTATTACATACAAAATAGTGAATACAATAAAAATCAATAATAAATTAAAGCAATAAGGTTCTTTAAAATGGTGATTGCGTAATGACAAATTGTAGATAATGAATAATTTGCATTATTTTAGACTTATATATGAATTGATGTTATTAAGTATAATATTTAGTAGAACCTATTCGAATAAAAATGTGCTGGTACGTCATGATGTTAGTAATAGAGAGAGAAATTTATGTCTGATGTCTGTCTAATAAAAATGCTGTTTTAAATGACTTGAAAAAACTTTTGGCAAACAAGATTATTATTATTACAACACAGGAAATCAATAATAAACAAAGCGTTAAATAAAGCCACTGCCACAGGGATCAAACTTTTTTGATTAGTTTTAATTTTCTTTTTTTTAATTATTTTTATTATTACTTTGTAGGTTAACAAAATTATAAATACTGTATACCTAATTGTTATGATTACTAATAAATTTATATGTTATAAAAAATAAAAAAAATCGATAATTTTCATATAGATCAAGGTACGGTCTTCCAAAACCATTTTAAGTGAAAATAACGATAGTCAAAATAACAAACAAAAAGATATTAATAGCCAATAAATACGACTTATGTTAAGTTTATCAGAGTACATATTGATGAATACTAAACATTTTTCAAAGCCGAGGTGCAAAATTAATTATGAATAGGTCTAATTACCCCGGCTCGCGTTGAAAGCGGAGAAAGTACGGACAACATAAAAACGTATTCGCTGAATATTATTTATTATGTTCGCGGAATTTCTACGTTTTAATTATGCCAAGCGTAATTTACGATATAAACATTTCCGATCTTTTAAATACTTAAACTTATTATGTAACGTAATATCTGTATGATAAGGTGAAATATGTATTGTTAATAAGTCGATCGCGAGATGGATTAAAAAAATCTAATACTAGATAATATATGCAGTTACTGAAGTCCCTTGTCTCTGAAGTTATATGAATTAAAGAGAGCAATCAGAATTGTTTTAATATCTTTATTTCTCATCGGGAGACATCTGAGTAAACATTGTTTTGAATATATTGTTATCAGTAAATCCCTCTAGCTTATATATTTTCTTTGACTTAACAAACGAACAATAACCCTTTACATTGTATCATACTCCTAAGAATAATTCTTATCAGTCAATGCTCTATAGCCACATTAAGGCCCAGTTTTCACTGTTAGCGAGAAGTACGTAGATTGCGTGAAATACGAAAAACCGCACGATCTTCGACGTAGCTAAGACTGCAAAAACATTCGTAATTAAGCTTAGGTAAATACTTTCAGCCAATTAATTGTGTGCCCGATCTCAATAGCAGCTCGCGCATATGTCCGTTCCACTTGTTGATAATAGATTAGTTTCTTATGTTTTTAATAACAGACGTATTATAATTTTTTAACGTGGATTGACGAGACGTTTTCTAATGTCACGTCACGTACGTACGTACGTACGTGTTGGGATACGTGGCTGAATAAATAATGCAGGTTTGATTGCCGAGGAATTATTTACCTTAAAGCATAATTAACAATAAAACTGTGATGACAAATGACTCAGTGGATACTTTTAGCAACTCCAAAGACATCATTCGCCGAGTGGTCTTAGAAACCTTGCTGTGTTTATTATTTGTTAATAAAAGCATTTATTTTCTTTATTCCTACATAATTGCGATGGTATGTCATATGACGTTAGTCAACTTCGTTGTGTGTGTGCGCAAATAACACTTGCTCATTGCGGCGAAAGAAAACGTTGTGAAGAAAGAGTGTGTCTAAGGGTAATTCAGAGTAGAGACTTAACTCTGAGTATTCTCCTGTAGTTCATATCCAACGAGTTATTGACATACGGAAGAAATGTTCATTGCCAATACCCGACTGATTCTTATCGCCAGACCCTGAAATCTACTACTTAAAGAAAGAAAAGGAAGTGATATACATATATGATCAACGGAATAGACGCAGACTATGTCTTATTGAGTAATTATTTTCGTTTATCAGAAATTTTAATATTCTTGACACAAACTCTAAAAAGTGTTCCGCTAGTAATTTAACGCTAAACGTCTCAAAATCCTCAATAAGAACCAATATTTAGTTAAATGTCAGTACCGTTATGATAAAAAACGCAAATCTATAACGTTTAGCCACAAAAACAAAAGATTCGGGGAAAAGACAGCAAAGACATAAAAATGTAACGGATTTTGGTTTTAAAAATTAATAGATAGAGAGAGGAAAATAAATTATAATACAGACTAGACAAAAACATATAGGGAAAGGAACACAGACCAGAAATTAAAGAAACCTAGGAAATGTACAGGCCCGAAAATTTGTTTTAATAATTACGCAACCGAGATAATATCAGATGACCTGAAAACTCATTCATACAGTCTTAATATGGCAAATTAACGTTGCACGCGAGAATAATGCGCGTATAATAAACCTATATTTTATTTAAAACCATATAATTAATGCTATCTTACGCAATCGTGTTGTAACAAGATTAGGCCTAAAATTTAAATGTAACTTGTTGCGACTAATTAGTCTATGGTGATTTTAATACACTATGTAGTCTGTGACACAAATAACTCTCATGCTCTGCTAATAAATATGGTGCCTAATTTGTGTTTTATTAAATAATTTCAAAAGGTGTTGCCCGTTTATGTGTTCGTAATAAAATAATTACATTAGCATACATACGAGTACCTATCAGTTAGATGACGCTTATCACATCAGTATTTTTGTATACAGTACATCTCTATTGATGGGAACATTTGTCAATGAAACAGGCGTAAAAATCAGAAGACTGTATAACTGTTTCACTATACTCAATACAGTATTCCGGATGCCAAATACAAAATATTGAGACATTAGCGGAAGTACAAACAAAAACTTCTGTTTTATGATATGGACGATTTGTAAATAATGGAAAGGTTTTTGAACGCTTCCTGAATCGAATTAATAAATAAATGTTCTAACAATATCATGTTTGATAAATTCCTTTATAAAAACTTGACCATCATGTCTAATGAACCGACATGGCCAGGTTTCCTTTTCACGGTCGCTGACCTAGTTTACACGGGCTGCGCACTTCCATATCATATTGTGTCGATATCTTCAAGATCAAAGGCTAAGTTTCCTTTAGAAATGTATTAAACCTGTTCAGACGTATTATATAGGTAAATTTATTGGGGCGGACGCGCCATTTTGAAATAAATACGCCTACAGCGTATAACTCTCTGGATTAGACTTTGGTATTACTAAGATCAATTCTCGGCGAAAATAATTGTGTCGAATGGACATAGGTTGTACACCTCAAAAAACTAACACATTAAAGTTTGTAAATTGAAATGTGAATCTGTAAAAGCAATGTATATACATATAATTTTATTTTAAGCCTATCTTAATTTCCTAATACAAATATATCAAGTTATCTCATGTGTTAGTGAATAATTTTTACAGTTAGTAAGTATCAGGAACCCTCTCCAGTAAAGGCCTCCTCAAGGTTGCTCTTTCTCTATCCCGAGCTATTTGGACCCAGTGAGGACCCGCGATGATGTCATCATCCCATCGAGCGTAGGGTCTGCCTCTGTTTTTTTTCCATTGCTTGTTTTGTGTGGTATGATGATGATGTCCTTGGAGGGTTTTGGTCATAGTCTTCCACGGTGACCAGCCGGGTTGGAAAGAATAGTTGGGGAGTGTGTTTATTATACTTTTGTTTCTTTTGTTTCTTTTGTTTCTGACCGCCGGTATACAATAATTGCTATTGCTGATTTTTTGTTGGGAGTGTTGAATGCTCTGATCGGCCTCTCATACGTCGAATGCATTTATTCTGTTATTTCTAGACGAGATTAGTGTTTGCTGTTTTCTTGGTTGTAATAATTCTGCTTGCGGAGAGTTTGATTTATCTCTCTTTCTGTCATGGCCCTTGAATTCCCTTTGACAATAAGTTTATCATACTTTATGAACGCTATGTTTCCTTTCTGCCTTTCTTCCATTAGTTTGGGTTGCAAGGACTTCCGTATTTCCAAGGTTTCTTTTGAGTAGTCTTCTGTTTTATAATTCCTTTAATTTCTTTTTGTTCCTGATAATTTCTGCTCTTTTCAATCCGCTAACTAAAGAAAGGAGGGTAGGCCTAGGTTTTCCATTATTATTTTTTTATGCCAATACGGTAGATTTTATTTATTTCATAATTTTCTAAGGTTATACCTAGTTCATCAATAACATTTTTAATGCACTCGATTAAATCCAACGTTGACTGCTCCTTTCCGCCAAACCGTGGATTATTATATTATTGCTTCTCTTATCTCTTTCTAGTGCTCTATTTTCTTTTCCAGCTTTTCTACTTTACTTTTCAATATTTGGTTTTCTTCGAGGACAGGTCTTAGTTTTTCCTCCATTTTATCAAGTATTGTGTTCGTTAGTTGGGTTGTTTGGTTCTGCAATTCCAACTTCATTTTGTCGAACAGTAATTGGAATTGGTCTTCCATAATTTTGTGTATAATAAAGCGCAATTAATATATGTTTTGCCAATTTTATTTTTTTCCTACAGTCCTCAGTGAAAAGCCAGAGGAAACCATGATTAGGTTTTAGTGCCACACAGTCACACTTGTTTTGATAAGGGTGTAATGTTATGTGAAGATTGTCTATCAAATTTGTTTTTTACTTTTTATTTCTTTCCTTCTGTAAAAATGTTTTGCGGAGCTATAGTAATTGCAATGTTGGTACCAGACAGAGGAGAAAAAAATATCAAAATCATAAGAATAATATGGCCGCCCTGAGATTTGATCGTACGGTACCTTGGTTTCAAACTTTTTCATGCAGCGTTCTGTTCAGTCGCAACTGTGCACATGTCGTAACTCGCGAATACTCTGTACGTATTCTCCGTTTCGTTAGATCGATCCGGTATGAGTCATTGTCTTCTTTGTTCGAATAATGTCACTTTATTACCGATCCGATATTTGAACTATTAAAAGTTTTCTTCAGGATTGCACTACTTAATCGTTTTAATGCTATTTACAAGTTTTAAACATTTGCTACACTTTTGAAATGTTTGTATGTTTTACTAGGTTTATATCGGAAATTAGTCTAATAAATCCTTCACAATCACTTGCACTGATACTATAAGCACTACTTTATAGTTTTTGTACTCCGAATTCGCGAATATTCGTTTGTTGTATTTTAATGATTTATTATAGCGGAGTACGACGTGACTGTGACGCACGCGGCGGTCCTCAACCCTCATTCTCAAAAGCAATGTATATACATATATTGTTTATTTAATAATTACCTTTCTCAATAGATGGCGCTATATTAAATATTGGGCAATAGATGCAAACGAATACCATTTTTCTTAACATTTAAATTTTAGTCTGAGTGTTCCAAAGGGGCACGATGTTGCCTTATATTAAAATGTTTTATTATTATGATATACGAACGTTTGTAATTAATTCACTTGTTTTATTATGTACTATAGCTGAAAGGGAATAGCTTAGAAACAAGATGAAAAGAGGAAGACAGAGCAAGAGATGAGCAGACAATATAAAGAGAATAGGAGACATAACTTGGACAAGAAGAGCTAACATTATGAAATAATGTAAGGAGCTGGAAGAGGCCTGTGTGTCACAGGACACTCTGATCACCAAAGCCGGAACGCACACTGAAACCATTAGGCCAACACTGCTCTCTCTCTCACATCTAAACACATGGGTAAGTAAACTCTTTATTATTAGTTACGTGACGTGACTCATGACGTTGTCTTGTATTCATAGATAAAGGTTAAAATAAAATCAATTTAATTAAAAAAAATAATATTTAAGTTGTTTAGATTTTTGCAAGAATATATTGCACAGATCACTAATAAGTAAAAACACATTACACCATTAAAAAGGACGAGTAGGCTAAATTAAACTAGCTTTTTAATCCCTAGAGATTCAAAGTGATTTGAATTTGGAATGTGTATATTATAGTTAGAAAATGTTCCAAAAAAGACATTGATTACAAACATTGTATGAAAATGTTACTGGCTGTCAAAAAATAATCTTTACAGGAAAAACGCGCGTGATGCAGTCTTTATTGTTATAATAAAATACTTAAGAATGAACATATAAACATTAGCACGTACTGAATTTTACATCATGACTAATGACTAATATTTGCTCAAAGAGGTCATAAAAGGACTCGGAATCGTCATAATTTAAACTCCCGGTTCAAATTTAGTCCAGGTTCAGTTTGCATTCCTACATTCCGCTACACCATAGAAAAAAACGCGTTTGCCTTAAAAATAAAGTTTTTGCTTCCCTAAAAACAATAAAAAATAAAAATATTAAAATGTTAAGTTCGCCTGCGCCTCCTTTATTTTGGCATTTCATTTTGGATTTTGTAACCACAAAAATAATCTATATATTTATATTAGTAGAACCCGTACAAACACTTTCGGTATATTTAAGTTTACCGTATTCATACAGACGCGAGATCCTTTACATACGTGATACTTAAATATATATCGTATGAAATTGTTTTTACCTGACATTCATCATCAACCGCCGAATCGAAGGTTTCCCGAAGCCTCGCTTCACCCCTTGCATCAGCCTTCGCTGCCATTTGCTTCTCTCGGAGTGAAGTGCGTCGAACGGAACGTACTCTAAAAACGTTTCTTTGTTAGTTTATATTTACGCCACCTATACATATCATGTCGTGCGTTTGAACTCCGGCATTATTCGAATATGAGTATTAGGAAGCGTTCAAGTATTACGTAACGAATTTTGGAGGGGGGTTTGTATTACGTTACAATGCGGGGTGGGGATTGAATTACACGTTATTGTTAATATTATTTTGGACTTTTCAGTACTTTACACCACATAATGGTAACTTTATGTATAAAGAGTCACTGGGTGGTCACGAAACGTTTTACTATACTTGGGTACAGAAAACGTTACGGCGCGTTGCATGGGGGGGTCCAATAATCCTCAAAAATTGCGTGACGTAATACTTGAACGCTCCCTAATAAACATTTATTACAACAAAAGTCTTACAATCGCAAATCAAAGCGGTACTTACATTCTTACTATAACTATATTCTTTTTTTATGATCCCACCTAGCAATCTCATGAGCTAACAATGACTCCGATATAAAAAAAAACAAATTACCGGCTAGTGGAAGCAGTAGAAGAAGATCGCCTTGCAGTCTTCAGTCTGTCTCCGGCTCCGCTGGCGGCACGACGTCTCACCTCTTCTTGCTCCGCTGCTAAACGCGTTATACGTGCCCGCATTTCACCTTCCTCACATATATCTGCGACAAAGGAGTACTTTTGTATCTGACAATTTTGTCCCATACAAGTTCGCGTATGCACTTCTATGCACTTTTATGCACGACATAAAAACGTCTTCTGAGTATATTACCAATTTGTCGGATACAATCATTATTTATTTATTTAATTTTTAGTAATCTTACAGCTTCCTTATTATATAGTAAAACACTTAGTCAACATACAAGGGCAAATCATATTACGTTGATAAACAATGTATATAAAACATAAGTACATTAATAGACAAAAAGAAAACTGAAATTTAATATTAAAAAACGACAATTAATACTTAATATTTCAAAGAGAAAACTAAATTGATAAGCTTTACTAAGTTAATAATCTTATACTAATAAAAAATCTTCCCGCCTCTTCAAATATTTCCCCTCATCCTCTTTGATGAGGTGGAAAATATATACATCTTCATAATTAATTATCAATAAATGTTAACTATATTTATATATACATAATATTTAAGTTATAGTAGCAATTCCAAAGCATTTTTACTCAATTTGAATGAAATAATTTTAAAACTTATTCGCTGTTTCCTATCTAAAAAAAACCAGTAGCACTACCACCTTTTTAGATCTAGGCCTCAGATTTCCGTATCTGTTTCATGATTATTTGTCAATCTAATAGGTAAGTAGGTGATCAGCCTCCTGTGCCTGACACACGCAATCGCAGACATCTAAGAAGTTGGTTTCCTTACGATTTTTTCCTTCACCGTTCGAGTGAATGTTAAATGCACACATAGAAAGAAAGTCCATTGGTGCACAGCCGGGGATCGAACCTACGACCTCAGGGATGAGAGCCGCACGCTGAAGCCACTAGGCCAACACGGCTCGTGTTCTACGTATTATCGTTAATAATTTTATGAACTCTATACTTGTGAAATAAGTAGATTTGATTCACTGATACACAATTACAGCTGAATAAGGTCCCCCTAGAGGGTATAAAAATATTAACAGACTCATACATGTGTTACATTGTTGATTTTACAATACCAACCTGCCGGTGTTTCATCATGCTTATTCCTTACATTGAGATCGGCTCCATATTGTACTAATAGCTCTAATACTTCTAACTGAAACAAAATTAATTATTATTACTACTACTTCCTAAAAGGTTTCAATTTTGATTTAAAAAACTTAACAGTTAGGCCTAAATTATTGTTGGAATTGGATAATATGTATTTAAGTCCAAGAACGTGTACTAAATTTCGTAAGTAAGTAAAAAAATAAATAAATAAACGATCTTTAGTTTCAAATATTCAACGATTTTTGAGATATTGGGACATTTATGAACACGTGTTAACAGGCATTGATAGTTATTTTATCTAAATTAGTATAGTCTTAACTTATAAATATACTCCAACTCCGTCCAAGTTTTATCAAAATAGGTTCAGTAGTTTTTGATAGATCCCCACGCATTTTTACTTTCCAGCTGACAGGTGAATGTCGGTTTAAATTTTTAAATTACTTTTAATACTCACATGCCCCCAGCAGGCTGCAGCATGGACCGGCTGCCACATATCATGATCCATCACATCTGATGAAGCTCTATGCTCCAATAGGAACTCCACCACCTTCAAGTAACCATTCGCAGATGCTACGTGTAACTGCAAAAAAAATCACACACATACATTTCTACTAATTTGTATATCCATAAAGTAACCTACGATAATATTGAGCGTACCGACTCCTAAAAGGCCGGTAGCGCACTTGCGAGTCATCTGCTGTGTCCATGGGCGGTGTCACTTAATATCAGGTATAAAAATCATAGAAATCCACCCAGCCGTTTCAGAGGAGTGCCGTGCCACCTCACTGTGACATGATTTTTGTTATATGTAAATAATATTTATTAATTAGCAGATTTTTTTTTACTATTCTTAATAATATTTCATATCAAATCTAGAGTCACAAGTAAACATTCACTGAATTGTTCTGTAACCCATTGTAGAATTAGGTATTCAATGTGATGTTTTTTCTTCAAGGAAGTAATAATAATAATAATGAAGGTCTTATAACATCAGTGTATTTGTAGATATAAGAAAAACAATTAAACATTGTAATTATCCCGAACATAACTCAGTACAGATAAAACTAAAATTTAAATTTTTAATATTAAGGACCTATCTGGTCGCCAAACTCCAAAAAAAGTACATTGTTTCTTTCCATATTTCGTCATCGTTTCTTAAAGTAGGGCGAATGGAAAAAATATATGATGGAGTTGAGTAGTTTATGTATCCATTTTGAAACATCGATACACGATTTAAATAACTTCGCTCGATTGAAAAAAAATCCAAACATAGCCCATTTTTGACACTTTGAATTCATTTATGACGAAAATGTATATAGAAGATGATATTGAAATTTACACAAGTTATATATATTACAGTTAACACTAGTTTTTAGTTAAAACTCGTTTTCCCTAGTTAAAAATAGTTTTTACTAAATGCCTTTGTCAAAACTAGAAATAACAAGTGAAAACTAGAATTTACCACTGATATAATTCATTTTCTGATAAAACTAGTTGTCACTCCGAGCTTTAGTTACAACTAGCACTAGAGAAAATAATTTGAATTTTGGGATTGAAAACAAGATAAAGTTTTAAAAATATTTATTAAAAAAAGATCTAGGGTATAGAAACATAGTACCGTACCTAGTAAAAAAAACTTACACTAAAGGAACATTTTAGGGAACATCAGCATAAAGTAGTTGCCAAGGTGACAACATTAATTAAAAGTAAATAAAATAATCAAACAAATCAACAGAATACAACCATAAAATTTAAAAAAAGGAACATTATAATAATATTTTTAAGGGATATTGGTAAACATACAATAAAAAAATAATCAAACAACCTTAAAATTAAAAAAGATGACGATCTACTTGTTATTGCAAGACAAACTATCGTGGCATTTTGAATTACAAAGGTAGCCATTTTTCTTGCAGAGACACCTTTTTGACATACATCCTTTCTTACATACGCAGCGCATAAATCCCTGGCCTGTTCCTATGGATGCTTCCTTAGCAACAGTTCTCAAAGGTAAATTTGTATTCGGAACGTCTTCTTCATGCAAAAAATTTTCTTTGCACTTGTCGAATTCTGACCTGAAAAGCAATATTTAAATAGTTAGCTTTTACCTAAAGGCAATATAATTATATGATAAAACAATTAAGCAACACATAGGTAGGTACATACCTGCAATATAATTTGTCGAGCATTCCATATTTCGTTCCAATCTTGTGAAAACCCTGATCATCCTTTTGAAGAACCACTCCGACTATATTACGTAGATTTGCTTTTGCTCTGTCGACATCTGGGATTTGTATAATTACATTATCACCGATTTCTACAGGAACGTGTATTGCATCTGAAGCTAATGTCATTCTCTTGGCCTGTTTTTTTAAGTTTTGATGTGCAGTTTCTCTGGATGCCGTTATGTGTTGATTCACATTTGTTACAACTTCGAGGTCTTTGTCATTTGGTGGTATTATTAGAGGCTCTACAGCCGTAGATGCTCCAGCTTCAATATCATATTGACTGGCTTCTAGTTCGATTGGCGATTCTCCACTTGTTTTGGATGAACTTTCTGCGTCTTTTTGTTTGGCTCCAGTTATAATCTGATGCTCTCCACTGCAACTAGCTACAGGCTCAGTTTCTGCATTATCTGTACTATTATTTAACGCATTTTCTAGATCATCTTCATCTCTTATATCCTCAATAACATCTCGTGGCAAAGTCGAAGTCATAAGCCCTACTCGCGGTTCTATACCAAACATTGCTTTGTATGGTGATTGTTTAATACCAGAATGAAGCGCCCGATTTTTCATAAACTGTACAAACCGAATACCATTTGACCAATTTGTAGTATCGTTATCTTGCATCCATGAAGCTAACATTTTCTCTATGTCTTGATTAGCCCTTTCAACAGATCCTTGGCTTTGGCTGTGCCTTGGCTTTCCATGGACTAATTTACACTCGGGCCAAAATGAAACGAGCTCATTTATAACAGAGTTTACAAATTCTCTCCCGTTATCGGAGTGTAAGATGCAAGGAGCACCAAATGTTAAAAATATATCAGTCAACTGATACGCCACCTCTACGGCTCTCTTACTTTTCAGTGCACGCAACAAAACAAATTTTGTCAAATGGTCCTGATACACCATTATAAACTTAAATCCTCGATCTTCCTGTGTTTGCATGTCGATAAGATCGACTTGACAACGGCTGTTCATTTCAGAATGTAATATGGGTTTTGAAACGAGTCCTTTTTTCTTCATACTTTTTTTTACGCTGACAGGTTTCGCACATAGAGAGAAAAATATTTATCATTTCTAAAGTTATGTTTGCATATTTTCGTGAAGTTTCATTTTTAAGTCTATCTCGACCACCATAACCAATGGCCACATGAGCTGCTTCAATTATATCAAAAATTTCATCTACATATAAGTAGTATTTCATGGTCTCCTGTCTAGACACTAATTTACGTATTCCACAAATATTAATGACTGTGCTTCTTCAATTTCGTCCACTAAACGGTCATAGGTTTCTTTTGGCATAGTATAAAAGTGGTCCTCTTTTTTTTCATGTTCACGAATCGCTAATAATCTATTTAAAAACTCCTCTTTCCACAGCGTTCCTTCATTTAAGTTTACCATGACTATTTGCGCTCGAATCAATCTATACGTGCTTAACAGAATAAAAACAAAGCATGAATGAATGGAGCGAACGAAAGCACAGCGCGCCGACGACAGTGCTTGGGAAGGGATTCCCCCGCGTTTGCCGAATCAGGTGATGTCTCGCGACCAATCAGAATAAAGTAGCCTTGGTCGGAACAGTTTTAACTGACTAACTTCGAAAAAACGCGTTAGTAATAACTAGTTTTAACTGATATTCAATTGTGAGCATTAGTTAATTCTAGTTTTAACAAAGGCGTTTAGTAAAAACGCGTTCTAACTAGGAATAACGCGTTCTATCTAAAAACCGGTTTTAACTGTAACATATATATTATCGCAAGCCAATTAAACCATTACAGAAAAAAAAATGATAAAATTACATTAATTTAATGTTTTACATAAGTAATTGTTATTACGAGCCTAAGTGCTCCAGCTCTCCACTTCGCCCCGCAGTCCACCCCGAGACACTGACAGAGCAATTCGTGCTGGGATAGGGCCTTAATTATATTATAGAGTTAACATTTCATTCAAATAAATACATTATAAATAAAAATATATTTTTGTAAGCGTTCTAATTGCAATTTCGGCTAAATTTTACAACCAATTAATTTTCCCTTATAAAATAAACCTACCAATTAATTAGAATTAATTTGTCGACTCTGAGTGGGACGTTACTACGTCAAAGACATATTTCATATTAGCTAAATTACTTGTAATTGTCTAGTTGTGTCTAATTTCAACATTAATAAAATCAATTTGTTTTAATTAAAATTCAAGGCGAGCGTTTTGCGTTTAATTAAAAGACTGAAATTCGTATAGAAAAATTGTAAAGACCATTTTATTTATTTCAGTTTTATTATTTATATTCAAAAACGCTTTTATTCTATAGAAATAATAGAAATGGGTCAACACTAAATGTCTAAGGGAGGTTGTAAACAAATGCGTTAATATAAAATCTAAAGCTGAGTTAATCTAGCGGTTAACGTTCCACTTTCAACCCTTAAATTGCGTCCCCATTCGGATATCAAAGTACCCAATAGGTCCATCTACGCAGTTAAGTCTCGCTCCTAAGCTGATGATATCATCGTGAGAAAATGCGTGTGAACGTTCAGACACAGAAGACTTAAAAAGTCAAAATTAAAAATAAATAAAATTTTGCTAATTCTCCCGTATAATTTTTGACACTGGCGTTCGATTCATATTGAAATTTATTGTGTCCCTACATTGAACATGGTAAAAAATGATACAAAGAAAGGGATTTATATATATAATTATATATACAGATGTATTATAATAATAAAAAATACATAAAATTAAAAGCGAAAAAATAAGACGGAGAACAAAAGTGATAGATGCCTTACATTATGCCCTAAAACAGAAGTGGCAATGGGCGGAGCATACCTATAGCAAGATACACAGATAATAATAGGTAGACCTTAAAGACAACTGTATGGAAAGGACCAAGAGGAAGAAGGAAAAGAGGTCGCCCAAAAAAAAGGTGGATAGAAGAAATAGAAGCGGTAGCAGGAAACGAATGGAGAAAGAGAGCCATAGACAGAGTACCAGTTGGAAAAAGCTGGAGGAGGCCGCTTAAGTGAAGGGGTCCCGTTACGTGAAGGGGTCCGATCGACGGTACTGAAGGAAGCTAGGATATAGGATAGATAACAAGCAAAAGAATTTTTTTTTATAAAAATGTAAAATAATCTAAGCTGTGTAATATAATTTGTTTTTGTCATGATTGGAAATAAAACGGGCTTTATTATTATTATTATCATAATTATATATTTCCTTATAATTCCTAATAAGATGCTTCAACAGAACCTTGCCTTGAACCTTGCATCTACTTTATGTTTTAAAACACTGAAATATATGTCTTTACAAAAATCCGAGGAAAGATTCAAGAAACGAAAATCGGAACGTTTTGAAACACCACAAACATCTTAAGCCACTAAAGCTATCGTTATATGTCTATTGTCTATAGGCTAACTATGTATAAGATAGAATAGGCTGTATGTGAATGTTTTAACAGGTGTTACAGTATAGTAAAATAAAACATTACGTCATAGTTCCGCTTCTGAATCTTTACTGCATTCTTAGGACATTTGACACCCACCCTATGTTTAATATACCTTGACATATAGACGAACAATTTATTCAGTTTTATTATGTTTTCAAACAAAATTCTTTTAGTAATCATATTTTGTCCTATTAATATTAAATAGGTATTATGATTAAATTGTCAAGCTAATTAATAAACACTCGAAAATCAAATGACAAGTAAATACTTGTCTCTAGAAGTATAGAAAAGTTAGTAATATAAAAAAATCTGGTTCCCTTATGTTATGTTAACATGCTTTTACACAACGATGTTATTCCGGCGAACTATCACATATATATTAAGCAAACGATGTTTTAATAAAATGTTAATAATAAACATACAAAAAAAAGTTTTCGTATTAATGAAGTACAACAAGACAAAAGTAATTTATCAGATTTCATAATGTCAGAGCAATGGCGTTACTGTCAGCTGTCATTGTCATTATGTCACACAAGGGTATAAATTAACAACGTCAAAGTCAAATCAGTTCAAAACCGTTATTACTAGTGGTTTATATTTGTCAATATTACTAAATCTATAAATTAACGCCTATTCAATGGTTGATAGTAAAAGTTATTACCATTTACCATAGTCATTATTATTATTAAAAGTAATTTATAAGATGGGCATATAAAATATATTATCTGTAAAATAACTATTACTCACCAGTGTCGCACCTTGACTATCTCTCGGCTCATCCAAATCCATGCCAGTCTTAACCATCTCCGCTACATCCATCAACATTTGCATTTCCGTCGCCGCCCTGGTCTCATCTATCAGTCTCTGTGTTACTCCTCTCGCCGCCATCTCACTCTCTATCGCATCCAACGTTCTCTCCTCTTCGCATATATCATACGGCATATTCCCATCCCCATTCACAGCCAGTAAGTTTGCACCTCTCTGTATTAAAATCCGCACTAGGTTTAAATTGCCACAAGTAGCTGCCGCGTGTAGGGGCGTCCACTTCTCGCTATCTTCGGCGTTCACGTTCGCACCATGATCGAGTAGAAGACGCATCATGGCTTCGTTATTATCTATACAACATTGATGTAAAGCTGTTAATCCATCTTCGTTTGTTGCATCCGGTGTCACGCCACGTGCGAGGAGACGTCGTACTGAAATTAATTTCATATTCTGTTAATATTTGAGCGGATTCATATTAAGATTTAAAATTTTGTTCTAATAGAGGCAATTGGCGATTTTAACAGATTTTAACTTACACCAGTTTTTTTTTGTTTTTTCAGTTTTTAAAAATAATTAAATGTTAAAATCGAGCTTTCGTCAACTGTCATTTTCATACAAAGGTCTATCGACAGACACCGATACGACCTCCCATGGATAGCTTGTATCGACAGATGGCTATTACAATCCGTCGATTGGTTATTGGCACACTATTTTTAAATACAAAACCCAGTAAACCAAGATTACTATCTCAGATGGTGGATTATGGATCGAGATAGGTTATTGTCAACGTCATGTGTCAGGCATAGAGGCTGATCACATACCAATCTGAAGCCAAGATCAATGTAAGGTTGTAGCGGCACTGAATTTTTAATTTTATTATTAACGGTGACCTTTTACCACAAGACTGTCTCTATTGTAAACATAAGCCTCTCACAAATATAGCTAATAGCCCGTATATGTAATATTACACCCGTAATCTAAATGTCGTTGAATAATCGTATCTTTATCACCAAACGATTTATTCAAAACTTCCTAATTGAAAATCCCGGAAAAGATTACAAGGCTATTTAAAAAACACCAGTTAAACAGAATGGAAAAACGTTATGCCCATGAGGAAGGCAGACATTTTAAGCTGATCGATTATACTTGATTGAGTAACAGTTTTCACGGAATAAGAAGCGATTAATTATTGCGTTCATTGTCTTGCAAAATCGAGATAGTTTATAATTGAAAACTCAAATAAATGCCGATAAGCCTGTACATTTAATATAAAATTTCTCGTTTATAAAGACTGTACGCTATCTGACAAGACTTTACAAACCATTGATTAGTGACTATAGAATCTACATGAATTATTTTTAAGAAAAAAAGCGGCAAAACGCTTCTCTATACAAGATGGCGTCGTACCAGTCCCTATGTCATTTCATGCTCCTAAACAAGTGTCAAGTTCTTACGTGTTACATACATATAATTCGTTCAAAAACAGTTTCCGACGAAATAAACTCCAGAGAGGATTAGACAGATGAAGACATTTCTGTTAGCCTTGACTCGAGTAATCTGTGACCATTTTAAATAAAGACTGACGTATAAAATCAATATTTTTAATTATAGACTTTTTTAATAACTTTTAAAGTAATGCTATTGAAATTCATAACGCTATTAAAATTCATATAACTCTCAAAGCACTTAATTTTTCATACAGTCAAACAGCGTATGAATTTGCCATTTAATACGTTGCGATACATACGATTTTAAACACGGTATACAAATAAGACTTCGAAACTAGTGATAATAAAATAAATCGACACATCTATTTATAAACGCATTGATACAATGTGTTTTGCATCACAAATACAAAATTGAAGTCATTCGTGATTGATGTATAACAGTTAATTTATTTAAAATGTTATATTAGGTAAACAAAGACTATAAAAGTTAATACCATTTTACTGATTTAAAGAAGGGCAAGGTAATACTGTTTGTAGCTAGATGTATTGTGATCTTATTTGAGACTAAACACGGCTCATAGATCTGCATTTTGGAAACTCAACTGGGCAACTTCCAAATACCGACAGCGATCTCAAGGTGACATCAGCGCTGCGGTTATTGAGAGAACTATCGAACTTGCGTACAAAAACCTCGGGATGGGTATCCCTGTCACTATTGGAAGAGACAGAGTACGGACGCTGTACGGTTCCTGGGCCTTAAATCAGAGAGAAACTCAATACAAACCACTTGCGTACAAACGATTATTTCGTACTAATATAATATATGGATATACTCTCGGTGTGTATGTGTATTTTAAAAAGATAATTATTTTCTTGATGACAAAAGAAACTGCTATATCTCATCTCCTTACATAAATGAAGATGGGCAAGGAGTTCTTGCAATCTTAAATGTAACAGATGAATCTAATTGAAATGCAAAACATTACATAATATTCAATACATTAGCACCAAATGACATCATCTGAAGCTTAGTATTATGACTATAAGCTAAGATTACATTCACTCTGGTAGAGTACGCCAGCAAGAACACAGATTATAAGGCCGGGGAAACCGTTCAAAATGTAATTTTGACGATTGTATGTAGACCCGTTCATTTTCTTATAGTGCCATCTCTTTTCGAATGTTGACGATCATCATGGCTACTTCAGTTTTGGATGCTGCGCTTCTGAATAATGACTTGGTGCTTTGACCAAACCAAAGTCTAAGATTTTTAAACCAAGACGTGCGTCTGCGTCAGATCTCTGCCACTTTGCCGTGTATGATTAGTTAAAGGAGCTCGTATGTTTTGGTATTACGTAAGACGAAAATTGCCCGAAATATTCATGTTTCCTTTTCTTCTTCTTTGTTCTAGATTCTGTTCAGCACTCCTTCATACAATCCCTAAAAAAATTAACGAAACTATTTTCACCAGGACTTTGGGTTATACGCAATGAACTTCAAGCACTAAGCTCTTATTTTTTTAATTAAGAGAACACAGGAAGTTACTCTAATATTTCACAAGCAAAATCGGAATGTATACCAAATTGGTCTATTGGATATTCTATTAAAATTCTTGTTAACAAAAATTTTATTCATTAATACGCGTAGATACTCTTACGTTAAGGGTAATTTGATATGGTTACAAAAAAGTTTTATTACCGTAATTCTACGCACGCAATACTATTATACAGTAAGCGGGTACATATTACCACAAGTATTACGGTAACTCAAGACACACATAATCTTGTTATACTGTTTACATATGATACATTAGGATAATTGCTAATTATATAGTGAAAGTCTCACATTTCGCGTAGAATCTACAAATTTAATTACACATTATTCGAGAGCGGGAAAACGTTCATAATTAGACCTAGGGCCAGACTTTCACATAGTGACTTTATATGTACGTATATGTACGCCTTCAAACATATTTAATCAAGTCGAAGCAATTGGGTCATATGTTTTAAGTAGACAACATAATTCTTTATTTAATCATATTTTTAATACAAATTTTATCAAAAAGACAGTAGTAAACAAATTATTGGGTACCTAACGGGCGAGTCATGTAGAACCAGAAATTTCTCAAAAATCTGACTAATAAAGAGAAAAATCTAATGTCGGACCATGAAATTATATCGTTTTTTAGACGTATTTCTGTAATGTAATAGAACATAGTATTGAATGGAATTCATTTTTTTTTATAGAACAGGGGCAAACGGGCAGGAGGCTCATCTGAAGGTAGGTAAGTGATACCGCCGCCCATGGACACTCTACATACCAGAGGGCTCGCGAGTGCGTTGCCGACCTTTTAAGAATTAGTACGTTCTTTTCTTGAGGGACCCTAAATGGATCCACAAAGTGGTGGTGCGCGGCAAAAACTGCCTTGAAAAACGCTCAGTTGTGGAACGGCGGACGTCGAGTTAATACGGGTGGAATTTCGTGTTTTGCCTCCGATGATGATGAAACTCAGTTGCAGGTATTAAAAATATTAAATGGAAACCAATCAATTACGCGTCCAAACTGTATGCGACGACGAGATCAAAATTAAATAAGACCTCATTAAAATATTGTCATATATTTTCACAACAAACGTTTCTATATTTGGATCTTAATTATTCAAAGTGAAATGTAATCCCCAGTGCACAGGGTAAACAGCGTCGGTGTCACAAGGTTTTAACATTCAATTGTTTTAATGTCTACCCGCTGTTACCCACATAATCGTAATACATGTAGGAAATAAAGTTTAATATTACTGAACCGATTTTAAAAATTCTACCACTATTAAATGCATGTTTAGTTCCAACGTAATTTAAAGAAAATCTGCCGTGCCAAGGCGATATAGATAAGGATTTTTTGTGTTTTTAAATAGTAAAAGATCACACGGCATTCGATAATACTGTGAACACTCGAAGTTTAACCTTGTGAGTATTCTATTGAAGTTAAAAAAGTCACCCTTCTTTAAAGAGGTAATAATGGAAATTACTTACATTTTAAACGTAGTTTAAATAATAATAAAGAGGAGTTTTGAATGTTTGTATGCACGTAACGATTCAAGTCAAAAACTGGAGTGCTACATTGTCTCTGAGTAACGTAATACGTTATGTGTACTTCCAAAATGTAGTACGAGTATAGTGTTGTGGTTAACTTTAATAGGCTTTCGTAAACTAGAATATATCTTTTTTTTTATTTTAATTCGCCAGGCGTGGTCTCAGCTAGGTGACTAAAGTTGGATCATCAATGGGCGAAATAAATAGTAGGGTTAAATTTGGAACTTGAACCAATATCAACACATTGATTCACTCCATTTCATTTCATACATTCAAATCTATGAAAAATTATTATTTTATCATACATGCTTTTGGACATTACCCTTTCACTCAAATTTATCTATCTATAGTCGACAAAAGCGTGTTCAAAACGAACAGTAACAGCTAAGTTGTGTCGTTTTTAAACAAACATGTTTTTATATTAAACATTTTAATTTATATGTAAATTTCCGTATGTATAACTGTATTTTAACAGCAAATTTTAATATATCTTTATACTGCTATATAGTATATATAACTGGATAGACACAGTCCTAAAATACGAAAAAAAAAGCCGGCAACGCACTTGCGAGCCTTCTGGCAATGTAATTGTCCATGGGCGGCGGTATCATTTAACATCAGTTGAGCCTCTTACCTATTTACTTCCTATTACATAAAAAAATACTGTTCTCATTAAATCAGTAGCCTGGGATACATATTATTTATCATATAAACTTTCTTCCTTAGCTTAAAAAAATCGCGGCCTGCTTGTTGGATAGAAATGTATTCACCCCACCCCCTTACTACTACTAATTTAAATGCTATATATTTTAGATGTCATACAAATTAGAAAACATACAAAAAAAGAAAATCATACCTTCTTCTATATCATTCCTCGCAGCGGCCTCCAGCAGCATGACACTATCACTGAAGTATATACTTCTCTTGTTGCTCTTTTCTCTTCTAGCCTTCGTTCGTGCCCATTCTTTCTCTCTCTGCTGCCATATTTTAAGCTGTTGCAAACGACGTCTGGAAGCATAAACATTATTGTTAAGCAGATACAGGACTGGCGTAGGAGACGGTATTTTCCAAAGACCATCAATAATCATTATCAAACTTCTTAGCAGGGCAGGCTATTGAAGCTGTCTCTTTCTGTTATACATAGTTTACGCTATGATAAAGAGGGATAGTCTAATAAACTTTAAAAACAGTGTTTTATTATTACATAAGGTATAATTTTCTTTACAGGTTTAGAATTAATTTTTTTATGGCGCCTGGTAGATAGTACCGGTGACCACAGAGCTGGCACTTTCCTGGCTCAAAGAATAAGTCTCGCAATACAGCGAGGAAATGCTGCCAGCGTTAAAGGTACACTGCCACAGGGACCAAACTTTTTAAATTTGTTTTGATTTTCTTCTTTCTTCTTTAATTATTTTTATTATTACTTTATAGGTTAAGAACATTGTAAATACTGTATTTGTGTAAATAAAATTTATTTTTTATACATTATTTCTTATCAATGGTTATTTATAATATTTTGCTAAATAATATTAGTATCTATGTCTACGCACATACTGTGTACAAAGCTGTGTTGATTACATTATTGGATAATCTAAAAATGGCAATCATTGTACAAATCTGCAGCCAGATACACTTTATCCTATTAAAATAACACGATTAAGGTATTAACGATATAATAATGTACCTATATTTAAAAATGTACATGTTTGATGCTTAATGTTATCTGATACTCCAAGGTATTATCATTAAAAGAAACACATTATAACTTGTAAATTGGTAAACAAATTCAAAATGGAGATTTTGACAATTGACCGATTAACAATGAGAATAGACCAGCTACTTCCGAATATTTGTAGCTAAGAAATGAGGTTTTATATGCACCGAAATGAATATTGCTATATAAAAACTACTACTCTCAGGAACTAAATGGAGACAAAATTATATGTTGCGGTGTCGTCTCACTAAAGAAATAATAATTGCAAATCCTATATATATGTATATTAGCTAGGACTGCATGTATATGTCTTATTTATCACTTTGGTATCCATAGAGTCTAGACCAACCATAGACAATTCTATGTGTACTTCGGCAATTTTCACCAAAAGTTTGTAAAGGATGTGTGAAGTGTATGACACTTTAATATTGATAACAAATAATAATAGAGTTTAGTTACTGATAACACGGCCTTGAAGAATTATATATTTAGTCATTTATATTCAAAGAAAATTACAGAACACAGGCAATAGAACACACAACATATTTTGTTTCTTTAAGATCTTTATTTAACTCAGAGCAGTGTTGGCCTAGTGGCTTCAGATACCCGAGGTCGTAGGTTCGACTCCGGCTGTGCACCACTGAACTTTCTTTCTATGTGCTCATTTAACATTTGCTCGAACGGTGAAGAAAAACATCGTTAGGAAACCGACATGTCTTAGGCCCAAAAAGTCGAAGGCGTGTGTCAGGCACTGGAGGCTGATCGCTTACTTGCCTATTACATTTAAAAATGAACATGAATCAGATTCAGAAATCTGAGGCTAAGACTTAAAGAGGTTGTAGCGCCACTGATTTATTTATTTATATAACTCCTTAATTAAAAATGCATATTTTTTTTAGATATAGTATTCAAGTTGTTATGCAAATCAACCTTGAAAAATATACACCTAAATCTCCTCATCACTTGTCAAAACCGTATGAAAATCCGTGTAGATTTTGTGTTTATCTCGAGCAGATAAAAGCGGTGAAAAGACTTTATTTTATGATATATAGAGATAATATTATTAATATCGTTTATTATTGTACGTAATGATACTTCGACATTGTGTACTTGAAAAAAATATGATTTGTTTTGTGCATAGGGCAATACTTGTTTCTCTTGAAACATAATTATTTATTTATTTACACTTCATTAGTTTACACAAAAACAAACGTATATAAAAAAGCAGATTACATAAGTTATTAGGCAATAATTAGTTCCTTTTGATGACCTTCAAATCTCTAAATAATAATTATTATTTTGGCACATTTCATTTTGGAATTTACTCCTATAAAAGCATATTTACAGCCTACCGCTATAAGGGGCCGTTCAAGTATTACTTAAGCACTTTAGAGGGATGGGGGGGGGTTGATTTTCTTATTTGGTGATTACGTCAACAGTAATTATTTACTTTTTTATACATTATCCACACATTGTCTATGCTTGAAAACGAAATGCATTTTCGAGGATTCCTTCAAAAAATTAATGTTTATTTTATTAAAAATTAATATTGCTTACTTTTGCTGACAAGAGGAAGGGAGGGGGGATAAATGGCAGTAAACGTAATACCTACTTGAACGGCCCCAAAACCATAGTAAATATATCTAGTAGTTTACGCTTATTAAAATAATTACATCATTATTATCTAAACAGATCGAAACCTAAAATTAGTAAACATACAATTATCAGTGCAATAATCCAAACAAGATTCGCTTATCACAAGGCTGTGTTTAAAAGCGTTTAAACCGGTTGGCCGACCTGTCGCTCGACAAGTCGACCACATGTATCCAGGATACGAATGTGTCATTAAATATTATACTTTGAAACTGGGGCAGTTGCAAAACGGATACTTCACTGCACGCTCACGGCTCGACGGTTAACAAATTAGGTTTATACAGGTGAGGTTCTCATAAGGCCGACTCTCTGTATAACCTGTATAGCCTAGATTGAAGAGCCTTTTTCTCGATATCAATAGAGCCATCTTTCTCAATATCTTAAGTTGAAACACTTAAGGGTGAATAATTGTAACCTTTTTGAGACTTACAATTCATTCATTCATCTACAGTTTTATGTCTTCGTTCTGGCAATTGTATTGATGCTAAGAGATATACTAATGTTTATTTGAAAAAAAATGAGTTATTAATTATATATATATATATATATATATGAGTATCTGTGTACAAATGAGATAGAATTATAGGCACAAAAATTATGACAAAAAGACGACATTTATATAATAAAATATTCATTTGATCATGCTTTACATATTTTTTATTTCGCGTTATCAAAATGCGCACTTTCCCTAAATAACAGTGTCGCTACAACTCTGGGCCAATGGTTTCTGTATCCGTGTCGTGATCATTTATTATTCTAAATAGATTACTAGATGAGGAGCCTTCTGTGCCTAACACATGACATAGTTAGGCTTTTTTCAGGATGCTTTCCTTCACCGTACGAGCGTGTATTGAATACGCACATGGACCATGGAAATACCATTGGTGCACAACCGGGGATCGAACCTTGAGGGGTGAGAGGCGCACGCTAAAACCACTAGGCTAACACTAAGACAAAATTCCCTAAAGGCGAAACCATTAATAACATCGATATTGTATTCACATTTAATACCAGCTGGCTAGCGAGGCCGTGTTCTTCTGTTCGCATACTTTAAACCTCCGTTATCCGTTAGTGATAGGTTATAATCACAGTAATGGAAGCGGTTGACAAAATAGCATCTTCAGAATACAGTTATTAAGAAGATATTGACTATAGGATTACCTGCCTCACAGACTCAACATGTCCATAATAAAATAAATATACTCTTTTGCTATTCATTATTCTCTATTTTACGCGCTAACTTGTCTCTTTTCATCACAGCGTAAATTCCATTTCACAGAAAGAGACTGAATATATAATGCATGTGCATGCGCTACAATTAATTGTAACTTAATCGATGCACCCTTACGACTCCCGTATTGGGTATTTCACGTGAAGCGGACAGGAAAAAGAATTAGGTCGTCAAAATCCAATACATTTTTGACAGCTGACAGCACATACTCCATATTTTATTTATATCAATTTGCAGTTTTACTTTTATTTATAATTATAAACATTTCTACGTAGTAACTAATTAGTAGTAATGTCATTACGCATTAAAATAAAATTTTCATACCTTCACAAACTATTATTTGTCTATGGTACCATACGCAAAAATAATCCTAGCTGATAATCACCACGGATTGCATAGATTTTAGACAGCTGAAGTTATCTTCCAAAATAATTTGGTTTGGAGTATTATTCGGTTCGCTAAAATCAATCGGCGATTTAAGCGTTAAAGAACTTTCGCTTTTTTGCGAATCGGATACTAATTCAAAAGATTGAGAAAGACATAAATACGAAAGTACTAATTATGACACAGTCTTTTAGCTTTAACCTAACCAACTCAATCATATACCTACATTTCGGTATATATATTATATTAATCATATAAACCAATGGTTGAAGCAACTGAGATAACACTGCTTATTAAACATATTATACCTACCAAGGCAGTAACAAAATTAAGCTCCATTTTAAGTGCAACTAATTAAGACTGTATTTATAAGAACATGCAGTCGGGTTAAACATTATAATATTTGATTGTTAACATGGATGCCCCAAAATAAAATCACGGCAATGTAATTTGAGCCGATTTCACTAAGTCACCTCTGTTACGGTATTTAATCAATTTAAATCGCAACCAAACTTACTTTATTACGATACTACTATAGTCCGCTTCGAGTTACGATAAATATATATCATAAATAACAAGTCTTTATTTATGATAGATATTTCAACATAGTAAAAAACAAAAACTCATTTTTTTTACCTTTGCCCTTGAATAAATTTTTTTCCTTACACGGGAATGATGGGGAACTTCTAGACATTGTTTATAATTATGTTTTGAACAATTTCACTGAAATTCAGCTTGTTGGGACTTTATGTAACTTCATCTCATTTTTGGTCTAAATTGACCGGACTATAGGCTTTAAATTTTTGTATCTGTTTCATAGGTGACCTATGCCGTCAATGTTTTTTGGGGTAAGACGGTTTTCGCCTAAAACTTTTTCTCACGATTGAAGAAATGTTGCATTGAAAATTCATTAGCGCTCAGCCGGGATTTAAAACGACCTCAGAGTTTAAAATCAAACACTTAAAAAGCGTCTAAACGCGACCGATATCGGGACAATGGAGTTGGGGATGAACTCATGAGCTGATG